TCACTAGGCTGCCATATTCAGTTTTCACGGGCAAGAAACAATTTTGCGCGCATGCGCGCCAACTAAATGTCCCACTGAAATATACATGTAATATGTATCACATTCATGCAGAATCTTTTATAGGAAATATAGGAATGGATTATTTATTGTTATAAAAAAAAAACTACCTTCCCTATCCCCCATATCCAAAAGTGGCACACGAACCCCCCCCCCCATCACTTTGGGGTTTAAGCCCAAAGAAGGATTTTACATTACTGCGGCAGTCTACGCATATCTGTATTGAAACCGTGGCTTTCTGTGTTGAACTTCATCATGCGCGCCCGCGGAGTCGACACAGTACATGTAGTATCAGATTCTTAAGTGTGACGCCTCTCCCGTTGAGTCCACGCCCACTGCACATGCAGATACACGACCATGGCAGGTATGTCACTTCGCGGTAAATTGCCATTATTTTTTCTTTTGTTTTTACTCGTCGAGTTATCCTGAAAGACTCTCCCACAAAAACTTGCAGCCTGAAAAATCTGAATTTAACATACCTTTATGTGTGCGTTGTGTACACACAACGTGCACGCATCCTGCGGCCAGCGTGCAATGACCTCAATCAATCACGTGTTTTTTTTACACAAAGCATTGCGTACCACCCGCCAAGCATGCTGCCACGTAACCCTAGTCTGGTTCACGGACTAAAATTCACTGACAACTCTTTAAAAAATTCTCAGGTCAGGTATCACCCAAGGATATAAACAGATCAAAAGGCAATATGTAAGGAGTCACAACGAAAGCCCTGTATGGGTGTGACGACAGTGACATGACAGACACATTAGCCCCAGGTCATTTACATACTTCTACTCCATGGTTTATACACTACCATGATTATGTATAAGCAGATCATTTGCAAGTTTGGTGGTTTCATATCACATTCACAATGGAGGGTAACAATCAAGGCAAAATCCCTCCTTGAGTTTCCAACTGGGCCATGAACTTTCAGACTTTAATGCTGATCACAGCACCCTATTGGTATGCAAGAGTATTATTATTATTATTTAGATTGTATTGAATAAAATGAAGAATGCCTGTAACTGTACAATCGTACGCATGTCATCACGTTTTACCACAGGCTAAATGAACCCTAAAAGGTACGCACGACAATCCAATGTACTACCACGAAGCAGGCGAAAACAAGGCTTTGGTCAGCACACAGTGCTTCCCCATCAGCATTCTGGAATTTTGACCTTGACAGTATCGTGAAACATATCCTTCAGTACAGTTTTGGAGCTATAATATTTCATTTTAACTGCATTGAGTAATAAGCCAGGTGTTTGTCACTAGCTTATTGTAGAGATGTAGGTCGAAGTCCGCACTGTTTACAGCATCCTGCAGTATCTATTAGTCATGACTGGGAGGGGTTAAAATTAATTAGTATTCAAGACACGATAGACCTAGCTCAGACGTCTTAGTGCAGACGATGTACGTCTGGTTAGCCTAACAGTAGGAGATTTTCGCAAGTGTTTGTTTTTGCACTTCTGATCTCACGTACGTTTCACTGCTTTCATCTGTAGCTTCAAACCCTAGTTACATTGTAAGTATCCATACTTTTTCAGCCACTGCCGTTGGTAAATTATTTTGTCTACCCATTAAACATAATATATTACCGATTCATGTTTATTGTAAATGCCACTTTTTGTATCCCCAAGGGATACAAATTCTGACCACTTGCAAATACTTATTTACCGTCTATCCTGAACCTCCCAACATTAAATAGGCTTATTCAATAGGGTTCGATTCAATTTTTCAAATTCATTGATTGTCTTTTAAGTTCAAAGATGTATTCTTCCACTTTAGATACTGCTTCGACACTTCTTTTCGATACAACCATGAACTTTGTGATCCGTGCGTTTTTGTATTGTGCCTTTAGGCTTGGACGAGGGATGGCAACTGGGTAGCTCCCTGTGTAGCATGGAGATAACGCAAAATGGTAATCAAACGGTAGTGTTATACAGTAAATTTATCGGCCGAAAATCAAGACGAGAGAAATAAGAGGCATTTTCTTTTCACTTCCAACTGCGCCGATTTCGGAAACACGCAAGGTCATATTTTGTGCTTGTATTGGGTTGATATGGAGTTTAAAGACAACAAAATTGCGTCACGTTGTGTCGTCGCCCCGACGCGGCGCCACGACGGCTTCATTTTCGTCGTGGCGTCACGTTCCCGCCATCGCCTTATTACTGGTGGAAAGTGGCTCACAATTAGAGACAGAGCGAAGGTCCATGCCACTAGATACCTCTTGTGATCCCTGTGCACACACAATGTTTTTTCCATGACTTCTGACACTGGCTGTGATAATCACCAGTAATTTTTAGAAACAGTAAGCACGACGGCATGATACAACTACACGGAATGACAGCACGACACGGCGGTCCAACGACACAACGACACGACATCAGCACGCGACGGCGCGATGGCACAACGCGACGCTTCGATGACAAGACGGGACGTCACGAAACACAGCGTTAAGAAACAACATGGCACGACGGCACAATGTGACGCAATTATGTCGGCTATGGAATTTCGTAGTTTGAGGATATAACGGGGCCAATCGCACATCAAACATGCACGAAGATAGATGGCCTCATTGCACCCAAAATGCAGCTTAATGCGGAATTTCGACGACATGTAGAAAAGGCACAATAATTTGAGACATTACTTTTTAATTAATTTAGACTGTTGTCAGTTATTGTAAAGTAGGGAGCGACATACAGCTTTTCATACCGTACAGATACCTTTTACAGATATTTGCTCCGATGGGTACACAATTTTGAACACCCTGAAGTAAGTTTCGAGGTTGGTGGGAATTGCACTCATTCTCGGAGTTTTGTCTTTGGTATGTTGATGCCATCACCGCCTTACCATCGCACACGCTTTTGCTCAAATGTAAGACAAGTAGTACTCTGTTAAGTCTCTCCCCCCGAGCTTTATCACCAAAACGGCGATTAATTGTCCAAAATGTCGTATGTATGTGTAAATACATAGATAATGTAGCCAAGGAAAAATTATTTTCCAAATGTTACCTGAAAAAGACCGATTGTATGTGTTGTTTCCTGCGTAACCTGTTAAAAACTTGGATAAGTTTTAGAAATTTAAATTGAAATTGTTTGTATATTTCAGTGTTTTTTAATGTAACTTTGTATTGTTATTTTTGCGTACATTATTTTATAACGCCGGGAAGGCAAATTTCATTCCCTTTTATACGCTGGAAGGAAATGACAATAAAAAACCTACCTACCTACCTACCTACCTAATTTTTTACATATTTCTTGAATATCAATCACTGTACCCACGGCCTCAACCCCACAAACGTGCCCGAAAATGTTGGTTTTGACACGTCACAGAGACACTTGGTTGGGATTTTTACTTAATGAAATCTCAGTCATTTAGTGCAAAGACTTTTGAAAAGGACAACTTCAAGTAAGGGCAGATCCAGAATCAATTTTTTCTGACCAAATTTTAACAAACCTGAGGTTGGGCAGGAAACAAAAAATCGTTGCAATTAGTGGCCTCTTTAAATTTTAATTTAATTGCAAAGTGTACATGATTTTCTGCACAGAGCTTGAATTTTAGTGGGCAATTTAACACCAACAGCGCCGAGTAGCCATGCAAGAAAAGGGCTTTGTCAACAACCTGGTAAAACAAGGCCCCAACTGGTTTGGGCATACTTTTATAGTTCAAAGAGATACAATTTGTAAAATATAGTGTAAAATACCAATATATCATGGATTGTTTGCGTTGATCCGTTAATGGAGGTAAGTTTTATGTGTTTTACTGCCATCAATAACAGTTTCCAGACCGCGGCTGGTGGGGCACCCAATGGGATAGCTTTGCTATGGAAGGACGTCATGTTTGTTGATGTTTGATTCCCACTATAGGTCATGTGACCTACCTGGTACGAGGTCCATTGTGTATTCAATGCCTGCGTCATAAAGTTGCTATCTAATTGCTGAACCAATTCTTCATAGACTATACATGGACACTGTAAGCGCGGCTGTTACTAACGAAAATAACAAAATGCAGAACACTATTACGGTATTTGGCTCTTTACTCACAGAATCTGTGCAAGATCTATTCATTTTTTTCAACTCCCGACCCTATAAAATTCAAAATAAGAGTGGAGCTTGGCAAAGTTTGGGATACAAACTTGAAAAACCGTTCTAACAGAATTTGTTTAATATGGGAGGCCATATAGCTGGAAACATACATCACTATTACTATATTTGTGCTTTATTTAATTAATGGCCTCTCCTGTACAGGCCACTTGAGCTAATTAAGGTGTAAAAATTTCTTTTGTCCAAATGCAAAACTATTTATTATATCCTAGGCCCTACCCTTGATCATGCTGAAAAACCTGGTTTAGTCACTTTAAAGCCAGGGCCTCCCTAGCCAGGAAAAAAATTTAAAAATTCAGCCAGCCTCCAGCCAACTCCCATGAGACTGTGAGTTAAGTGACCCCATGTGTACAATGTAATGGATTATTTACAAAAACAGTGCCCGAGCCAGGAAGTGGAAGGTTTCTTATCAGTGACAGCTGTCTGTAGCTTGTCAGAGGCCTGTTTTGGCTGCCTTTGAAGTGTTATTTTGGTTTGGGGTGTTGTGGTGGTGGTGTGGCTTGGCTGGCGTGTAGCCAGGCCTCCCCAATCGGTATAGCCTGGGAAAAGCCCCCCCCCCCACCGTACTGTGATATACTATGGGTGGGTTTTTAAGAGCTGTAGAGGCTAGGGGACAGCCACTGAAGCATTTATATACCTCAGGACGGACTCAGGGCTCTGCAACCCTGAAAAATGATACAGTCTCTTCTGGCGAGGCCGCTCCCGCCACCATGTAAAAACAAATCATACCGCGTCCCAGGGTTTTAACCTCCTAACTTGTCGTAAGTAGGACTTTGTGAAAGTTCTAATCTGTGAGGATTTTCATCCTTGTTTAATATAAGCACTTCCATCCTCTTGCAGAAATAAAAGAAGTCCAACGGTAAAATTCCAAGATGGCAAAGAGCTACTGCACACGCCATCTCCGAAGTTTTGGCATTGTCCTCTGCATGCACATCAGCATGATGCTTTGGACGGGCCTCACTAAAGCGCTAGGGGTGATGTTACCTACTCTTCGTGAGCAATTTTCAGCAGACACGTGGATAATTGGCGGCTTGATAGCAGCCGTGAGTGCTACGGCAGGTTTTGCTGGTGCGTTTGAGGAAAACAAATCGGTTCCCTCTCGAAATCTGTGATAGTGCTTTAAGAACCAGCAGAGAAGTATTCCAGGAAACAACAAGGCGGCCGTAGTACCGTCAAGATTTTTGTATCCAAAATAATAAAACGAGTCACATGTCGCTAGAGCCCCTTTTGAGTTAAATACCTTTGAAAGAATTTTGCACGGTGTTTACGCAACGAAAAACCTCAACATTTTAACACCTACACAACGTCCATTTTCAGCACACCAAACTGCGTGAAACGTCAAAATGAAAAACTCAACGTTAGGTATTAGGGGGATTTTCCCTTCTCCATCCCTATACAAAAAACCCTCCAATCTGAACGATTATTAAATGGTAAGCCAAAATGGAAAACTGCAAATTTATATTCTAAATCAAAATCACAATATAAATGTTGATTTGTGGATTTCGTTTGAAAACCAATCATACCCAGCTGCTTTTTTGAGCTATTCCATTGTTGTTGTCATTGATTCTGTCACTTATTTCACCCTCCAGGTCCTCTGTCCGGGCCGCTGGATGGTACTTTCGGAACTCGTACTGCGGTCGTAACTAGTGGTCTTCTCAGTGGAGTGTCTCTGATTCTCTCGTCTTTCTCAACCCATATTTTCCACATCGCATTAATATTATGTTTCCTGGCAGGTAGTTTATTCATTTTTTCTTTGTATACACGGAAGATCCGAAAAATAATGCCTGAGCAGTTCTTTGTGTTTACTTTTGTAACTTGTTGGTTCGTTTGCCTTCATTATAATTCTTTGCGACTTAGGGATTGGTATTAAATTACGGTTTGAAATGGAAGCACACTTTGAAAGGGTGCAATCAACGGGTCATGAATAGCAGACGGCCAGAAGCCCGACAATTCAGAAGGTGCGACCAAGACTCCATTTGAATTTGGGATATATGGTCAACAACATTTGAGGTGTTGAAAATGACATTTTATCACGTTGTGTGAATTAAGATTTTAGGAAACATCGCGCGCACATGTTTTTATTCAAAAAACGAAGATTTCATGCACACCACACTTGTGTGTTTGCAGAGTTATAAATTGATTCATTGCATTCGGTTCCGGTTTGGTTGAGGTTGGATCGGGTCAAGTCTGCTCGGGTTCAGTTTTATATTCACATCTAAAGAAACATAATATGCCTTTTTTAACAGCAGCTTCAGCGGAAACGACAAACAACGCTTACTTCCCTATCCCCCTTTCTCCTTTCTCTACTCTACAGGACCTGCTTTGTTTATCACCTCTATTTTGACAAGGGCAATGGCTGGACGTCATTTCACCACAGGCTACGCCATGGCTATTGGTATTGGGAGCTCAGGCCACGCACTAGCCATGATGATCATAGGGCCATTGACTCAAGTTTTTTTAGATGTCTATGGCTGGCGAAGTACCTTCCAACTGTTAGGAGCTATCAGCCTGCACCTTTGGGCGTTTGCATTCCTGCTAAGATCGCCACCAAACCCTGCACAGGCACGGAACGAATACCTACCAATCGCCTTCAGTGAAGAGAGGGAGTTGTCTACCAACGAATTGAGAAGCCTCGACGCTGAGAAGAGATCATGTCTCCGCAGTCTGAAGGGCGCCATCAAAGCGGTGACGAATCAATTTGGATGCTCAGTTTGTGGCCGAGCCGAGTTCTGGATTGCATTTCCCGTTTTTGGGTGTGACTCCTTTGCGATAGATATGTGGCTGATGTACTTCGTTGCCTATGCCAATACGAAAGGTTTTTCAGGATATGAGGCTGTAACTTTCACTTTAGCCGGAGGAATAGGAAACATCGTTTCCAAGATCATCTTTGGCCTGATTTTAGACCAAGGGCTTTTACAATTGCGGCTTAGTCTCTTTGTTACGATCATTGCGAGTTCTTTATCTTTACTGTTACTTCCCTGGATGAATACATACTGGATGATGATGATCAATGCCTTTCTCTATCACGGCCTGAGTGGAATTGTAACAACACTGAGTGACATTTACACCCGTGATCTGCTTGGAGCTGAAGATTTAGTTCCCGCTTTTAGTTGGATTGGTGTTTTCACGGCAGCCCTTGTTCTAGCCTTTGGAATTTTTCCGGGTAATATACTCTAATACCTTAAGGGGCGCAAATATTATTCGCCACTCTGTAGTTCTTTTCTGCACGTCATCTTATTATTGTTATCAGGACTATGTGGTCCGACATCTTGGTGGTGCAGACCGTTTGGGAAAATGTTCACTAAGGCCGTGTCCGAAACGGGCTTCCAGAGCTACGGCTAGGTCTGTTGTCTGCGCGTCTCCGCACATTTTCAATGGAGCAAAGACCAAGACCTGGCTCTAGACAGCAGATTCGGATGCAGCCTTACTGTGAGGATGTCCGTTCTTAAAAGGGATCATTTTGCGAAACCAAAACATTCCCTGGTCGTTCCCAGACATTCCCATGTCTGATACCAAGTTTCGTGTTAAACATTGTGAAAATGAAGGATTGTAATATTATTTAAACTGCAAAAACCAGGGTGTTATATTCAACTCACCTGCGTTATCAGAGGACCACACCAACGCTTTTCACTTGTGTTCAAATTTTTATTGTTTCTAACAATGTGGGTATCACTTTTAACACCATCCAGTGCACTTGTAGGTTGGTAAAGTAACTCATTTTGATTGGGTCATTTGGCAACACCAACAAGTGCTGTCTTAACACCACAGTTTTTGCAGTGTAGCTATTTTTGCTTGTTACAGGTTTGATGTTTGACAAAACTGGAAGCTACGACCTGGCGTTTGTCATCTTGGGATGTGTGGCAAGCCTGCCCTTGGTGTCGCTGTTTGCAGAAGTGCTGTTAAATCGACGGAGGGAGAGATCGCTTTGAATGTCCATAACGTCCAAAACATTAACCCTAACTCCCAAGGGTGTATATAAAATCGTACGGAGATTGGAAGAATTGGGACTGTTAGGTTAATGTGCACATTTAGTCCGACGTTTCATAATGTCGTTATTATGCCTATCTTATTGAATAGTAAAATAGAAGGGGAAGGAGAAATCTTTTATTTTGACCACCACTGTGCCTATTTTCTGGTGACATTGGAAGTATCTTGTACGCTTTCTTCGACGATTTTCCGTGAATTAATTCATTGCTTTAGGAAATAAAAGCAGAAAACCTTGAAAACTGAGACCACATTTTCCCGAAAATCCTCCGTTTCATACCCTTTATGAACAACCTGGTGAAACGAGGACCCCCGGCTGCTTCTAAAAACATCAAAGTTATACGAGATACAATTTGTAACATATGGTATAAAATACCAATATATCATGGATTGTGGGCAGTAAACCATTATTGGATGTTAATTTTACACTGTTCTATTTTTATGTTTGTTCTTTTTAATCACGCGTAAATACTGTAGTGCGGACATTTTCCAGCTATATGGCCTCCCATATCAGAAAAAGTCTACTAGAACGATTTTCAATTTCGCATCTTGGACATTGCCGGGCCCATTCCTATTCCTGTTCTGAATTTTATGACGTCAGGAGTTGAAAAACATGAATAGATATTAAACAGCTTTTGTGGATCAAGAGCCAAATACCGTAATAGTGTTATTTGTAGTGTCATTTTTGTTATTTTCGTCAGTCATAGCCGCACTTACTGTGTCCCTGTATAATCTGTGAAGCCATTTCATGACGCGGGCACTGAACGTGCAATATACCAATTGCGCCAGCTAAGTCACATGACCTATAGTGGGTATCAAACACCAACAAGCACGACGTCCGTCCATAGCAAAGTGTGGTTTACCCCAAAGAATGCCGATTTTCGGTGTAAGTGCTCAGCACATTTGAAGTATGAGTGCCTTACTGACTGTCGGCTTCATTTTTGGGGTGAATGACACATATGCCACACTTTGAAATGGGAGGACGCTGACTTTGCTAATGTTTGATACTCACTATAGGTCACGTGACTGAGGGGGGCCTACCAGTTTGTGAGTGCCTCCAGAGGGGCAGTCAAGTGATAATATTAAGGTGTTGTCCCTGACATGACCTTGTGACATCAGCGTTTGGGGGTGGATTGATGCCCTGGACACTGTACATGCCGATAATTATTGTCGTGACTCATAGGAAGTGATAACCCTATGTTGGGGGTGACCTGTGAGGCTGTAATTACGTGATGAAATTTACGTATTAGTCGTCGTTAGTCGTTGTGACAAGTGATTTATTTCCACTGTAGACTGGCTCTCTGATCACTTTATCACTGACCATGCTTCTTTTCATCCTTGACTATTCGGTGGTCTTCCCATCAAGTACATATCATACCGCGATCATTCCGGACCTCATTGGTGTTCCCCATTAAACCACTTCCTGCCGGGGTACTTATCAACGTTGTTGATGCTGAGCCGGGATATTATCATTTTTTTTCAACATTCTTTAAAAATTCCTATCTTCATTTACTGGACACTTACAAACACTTGAAGGACTGTCTGGTGTCGACTCAAGCCTGACAGACAAAATCTATTTACGCCTGAGTATTTCAGCCAGGCCTGCAGCCTTGTAAAGAAAGCCCAGATTGTTCGGTGTTTAAAACTTTCTTTTGTTCACGAACCTGGCTCAGTGCAATGCTTAATCTCTTTTCAATGGGGGCCAGATTAGCGTGCAGCGGTGCTGAGTGGCTCATCGCTGCGGTTATCCGCTTGCTCGAAATGCTCGAGGCCAAGGTATACTATTTTAAAACAAGGCTGGATTATCTCCACTTTTGAGAGTGAAAAATGTCGGTAATTCCCAGCAGCCTGTTTTTAATTTGTTTTTTTGTTCCGAGCATGGTCTTGTGCTACAAGGGCCTTTTCCCTTTGTCCGAGTTTGGAGACCCCAGCCACGCATAAACAGGATACGCGTCCGGATCCGGAATCACCGTCAGGAAGTAGTTTAAGGGCGTTCAGAGCTCCATCGCACCTATCAAGCCTCCAACCTTCCTACAGTTCATCTGCACAATTAGCATTGGTATCTTCGTTATTAAATAATTCAAACATAAATGGATTATACCAACGTAGAATGACCTCGGACATGAAATATCCAGGACCAGAAGCATTTATGTCTTTCGCAGCCGATTTTATATACGTGGCATTCCAAATTGCCAATGCTGGTATCCATTAGATTTACTAAGTACAAGTCTTAATTGGTCTGTGTTCCATTGCTCATCCGTTCGAGTAAGACTCCACCATATTGCCATCCAGTGTGTCTAACTTTGGGAAACCAAGAAGAAGACGATCGTGTTTGTAGTTAAGCGTGCGCATTTGAATGAAAAAGAAATGAAATTAAAATGAAAAGAATAATTTAAACGACGACGATATGCTGCCTTCCCACTGTGGAGTCCAATTGAACACAATATGGTAGATTTCCAAAATTCACCAGACTTGGTAACCTCCTACAAAAAGAACAACAGCCAAACGAAAGCAAACAAAAGAAAATGAGACCGATTTTTGGAAGCCTATCTTGATCTCGGCCTCGGCATGAAATGGCTTGGTCTTGGAATTGGTCTCAGCACAATTTGGACTGAAATTGGGAATAAATCCAAATTTCTCGACGTTTCTTTCCAAAATATTATCGCGACTTGGTAATTTCTATACATATGTAACAGTGATGCCACGCATATATACTAAAATGTACAATCCAGACTCGAATCTTATTCGCTCCTTATCAAAATGACTTAGTTAAAGCACACAAAATATCGAATATTCATGTTTAACCGCAAAACACAGTTTTTATCCATTGTTGTAGGCATAATAGATTTGTACCCGGAACGCCGAGCATGGGCTATCGCTTAGAATGTTATTTGATCCAATGAAAGAAGAGAATTGCAAGGAATCCTACGAAACACGAGTTTCATTGCCACCAAATTCGTTCATTCTTTGTCAGCAAAAAGCTTGTATTTTACACAGATTACTTACTAGTACAATCATAATTTGTTATTCACAAGACGCAGTCATTATTTAATTGATACACTAATTGGCAAATTAGCAGTGTAGATTCGTGTAATAACTTCTAATGTAACTGTGAAAAAATACTGAATGTTTAAATTGACTCTATGTATAGATACACACGTTCATGCCTACATATTGTGATCCACACCATTCATTTAATTAACAGTCTCAATACATATATTTTCTCTTTCCCATTTCACGATATTACCTCTTATTTTTATTCATTTATGTCAAAGTGAGGTCATGCATGAACATTTGCTAAGATTCTTGTTAATACGGAGCACAAAATCGGCTGCTAAAAATTTTGAATTCACATAACATCCAAATCTCACAAGTTAAAGGGATGGGCCATGTAAGGTTACATTAACGTTATGTGGTAGCTTTCAACCGTCTTATATACAATAAGTTGGATTAATCCCTCTTTTATGTCTATGAAATCAGCAAAAATTGACGTTTTCTGTGTATGGTTCTCAGTCTCCGCTTGAGCTCGTCAAAGAAACTTATCGAAATCGGTCGCTTTCTTCGTGAAAAGAATAATACGACCATGACAACTGCTCGCTGTCATGATCGGTGAAAGTGTCAATGCTGGAATTATTGACGCTTGAGTCTGCCAGGCTGCACACGCTAATGCTATTACGTACATGTCGACGCGTCGTTGCGTAACAGTAAAACAGTCGCCGGATAAAGGACTCCGTCCTATGACGTCACGATTCTTAGGAATTTCTTCAGACGACTTTCTGTACCCGATGGCTTTTGTTTAGCTGTTGCTCCCAGAAGTGAGTGGAATAGGAACGTGAAACCTATAATTTTTAACATATTTCCGCGCATTTTGAAATTGTGCAGGTGTGTTTTCTTGTTATATATATGTTTGTTTAATGTGTTGATGCATATTTTACAAGAAACTTTCGCAGCACAGCCCATCCCCTTTAATAGCTAGTAACCAGAACTTAATTGGTACTCTTTGTTTGGTGAATTAATTGTGTCCTGCTCATCTACCAAGCGTGAATGATGATTATGTAACAAAATCAAAGACGGCGCACACGACTATTTGAACAAACACAATTTTCCTGACTCGTGAAGCCAGTTTTGATCAGACTAAAACCTACGTTTGGATACACCATTTACGATTGAATTTATTCTTTTTGATTTCAAATCTAACACCAAATGATGAACTTTCAGTCCAAAAACTCCATGAATCTGAGGTGTATTCTTTTTGCTCGTTTCTTATTTTAACACTGCATCGTTAGTGACAAAATACACTGTGCAACAAACTACCAAAACAACGTCAGAATCATGCAACTAACACAATTAAACGTGTAATTAAGGGCAACGACTACACTTACAGTTGATTGCGAGGAGTTTAGTAGAATTTACTACTGAACATCTCATCGACCAAACCATAGCAAATAATTATCCGTATTGTTTGTATGGAAAGGGTACACAATGTCAACATCTGATTTTATTTACTAATTGTACCCATGCTTATTCAGAAAATGAATGCCAAATCCGCATGTACATACTTTTTTTAATTTCTCGTTTGATTTTGTGATTAACTCTTCATGAAAGGATCATAGAATAATTTAATGAACCCTACGTCTCTTTTGGGGCGATTTTCTTGCCGAAAGTTTTGCTTCGGTTTGAAATATTTCATTGCGCATGGTCAATTTTTCAAAAGAGATGATTTTAATTCCATTTTCCTCAAATTTTGGAAAAATTGAATTACAAATGATGTGCCTCCGATTTGAGGAATTTGACACTCTACCTTGATAGTGGTTCCCTTAATGTTGTTGGTTTCCTGTCAGTTTTTACACTACATGTAATACCGACTGAGCTTCATTTCACATTTGACTATTCGATGGTCTTCCCATACTATACCACAATAATCTGGACCTCGTTCATATTCCCCGGTAAGGCCGTCGGGACCATCAGAGTTACCACTGCATGCTCCAAACCACCAACCTCCCTTCAGTTTAGCCGCAAAATTAGCATCGGTATCCTCATTGTTGTCCATGTTGGAGGTAGGAAAACTTGGCCCGTTCAATTGAGGTCCAGCTTGGTTTGATGCAGATGTAAAAAAGGGAAAAATAAAATTGTCTGCCTATCCATATGGATATTTTGACAAAAAATGGTCATATTGAGAAAAATGAGTAAATTGGGAAAGAGCATGCAGGAATTGCAATTATTACAGGAAAAAAACCTGAAGATGACATAAGACTGAAAATGCAAAATTCATTTCATATTCCATCAGTAGCCACATTAGCACGGATATAAGTCAAGAAGAAAATACAAGCAGGCGACTGTAGAATTTGTAAGGCTAGAGACTGTGTTCTTGAAATAAGTGTGAACGTCGCAGGTTAGTGTTGGATTAGTTTCTCACAGATTATTTTGTCAATAACTTATTGTGAATACATTAACAAAGGGCTTGCGCAGTCTCGCAAGATATGAAATGACATTTGGTATTTTGGTTGACCCCTTCCGGTATATATAAAGTCTGGTACCACCGCTGCCTAAAAGAGAGGACAATCAAATAATGCCTCAGTGAAGAGTATACCCGTACCTGTTGACCTTCCAACACTCAGGGCATAATTGTCACCTTCAACACGGAATGGCCATCGGTAACTGGTAGTCTTTGTCACGCTGGTCTGATTGTCAAACGTCAGATCAATCCGTAGTAACCATTTTTTCTCAGATGTTAGCTGACGAAGTTTCTCGTTTCCAAGCCAGAATTCGCCCGTCAGATTGCCGAATCCGTCCCGGCACTCGGTCCACTTGCGAGTGAAATTCACCGACCCGTCAAACCACCTTTGAAACACCTAAACCGTAGAATTTCTTTCTTTATGTTGAAAATTTTGTCTTCCTTAATTTGTGAAGGATCGAAATTCAACTTGTTGGTCCTTTTTCCCCTCAGGTAACTACTTTACCTCACCCGTTTCTTTCTGAATTCTTGTGATAACATATTTTCTAATATTTAGTATCTTTTATCAACTTGACAGTAGTTTAGCTAACGTTGACTTTGCTTCGACAAAATTAATTTAACAGACACATTTTCACACTACCCCTTCTCTCCTTATCATTCACCATTCATCCTGGGCAAGACCTGGCAAGGATGGAATTAAATCACTGTGTTTCTTCCACTTGTTTATTTCAACCATAAATCTCCGGTCTGTGTCATTTTCAAGAGATTTATTCAATTTATTGTACTTGCCTGAAAACCACAGACGCAGAGAATCTTCTAAATAATTTTGTTTTCAAGTAAATGCAATGGCTTTCCTCATTGAATTCAATATAACAAACTTACAATCCAGCCGTGTGGGTAAACAGCATCCATGTCACAGTACACCTCCAGGCCGTCAGGGTACATCGACGGATAAATGGTATAAACACCACTCCGGTTTATTTGATGAGAATGCAATTCAGCACAATCTGAAACCAACATAATTCAGGATTGACCCTCTTCAATGTAAACTGAAATGTATAGAAGAACCTGCAGGTATAGTTTAATGCAAAAGTTTATTTTAGGAACTCTGACATCGTCTGGTCGTAGGTCCTAATTATGTTAAGACATAGCGTTCAAACCCCATTAATGTATCAGCCTCACTCCCATTGCAGTTCTCCATTGTATCCCTGAGAGGGTGGGTGAATTGTCTTGGTTCCCACGTCCCCCTCACAATTAAAGCTGACTGCATATTTTGTAATGTGCCTTCTATTTAGCCGAGAATTCATGTGAGAAAAAGCCGTTAAATAAATCTTCAACATTTTGAAGTGCATTTTGGGCCATCGTAGATCAACAAAGGCAGGACGTGAGCTGTTTGCGACATATTGCTTGTGACTTACCGCATGGCTTTTCGTCGCATTTTTGACCCAGTAGTCCAGTTGCACATTGACAATGGAAAGAGCGGCCAGATTGCAAGCATGTTCCTCCATTTTGACAAGGGTTACGACTGCAAGGATCTTATTGAAATCAGACAGGAATTCAACATTAAAAGTATTTCTTGAAATGAAATAAAAGGACTGAGACTAAGAGCTGATAATAGCACGAATCCCAAAAGTTATACCTTGTTAACAACACACGATCTTGACACAGTTCTGTGGCAAAGTAAACGATCGGGTCACTTTTCTATTGGTGTATAGGAGTTAGTAGAGTATTGAAACCAAAGGTAGTTTGTATTTTTTTACAATGTGTTCATAGTGCGCCATCTCGTCTTGTGTGTATGCCGTGGAGATCAGTTGTGTACATTTGAAATGCGTGGGGATACTGGCACCAATATGACATTATGGATGAAGCTCGTGACACATTAATACATATGTGGTATGCATTAAACTCCTGTAGATCTTACAACAAAAGGGCGTATATGTGGATTTTCAAAAAGTTGTACAGGCACCTTTAAGCTTATTCGAGTGCTTTGAATACATTTTGAATACGGGCGTTTTGCAGTAGTGCGCCTCAAAGAGTTTTCAATGCACTGGCCAATTATAATGCGCGAAATCTGTCCACCAAACGCGCGTTTAGAAAGGGATGACAGATTTCGCGCATTGCAATTGGCCAACAGGTTGCAAACTCTTGGAGGCGCACTTTTGTGGGTCGCCCGTATTGGTTGTTTGAAAGTCCGAACGATTCTTCACCACTCTGCGGTACGTTTCTCATTCAGAAAAGCAAGAGGAGGATTCAACAACCCATCCTTCCAGGTCAAAACGTGGGGGACATGTCCCCGAGATTTACACCCATGGGGGACAGGGACATAGGAGTGAACGCGGCAAGTGATACGGATACGAAACGGACCAAAAGTCGTACATGCAAAAATGACGTTTTTTCACAAAAACTCCAAATTTCCGTCATCGATGACTGAGCATGAAGTGGTTTAATGGACTAAGTCAGAAATGGCCTTGCACCGAATAACTGTCGGGATGTTGAATTCATACTGTCCACAGACAGCTTTCTTGTCAGAATTACGTAATATATGATGGAATCCCCCAAATGTATGATGCCCATCGCGATTCAAACAAGGGTAGAAATTGTGCTGAAAGAAATTGGGACATGGTGAAGGACGCAGGTTAGGCTGCGGCAAGAATAAGTCCCTAACTCTGGTTCTCTCTGAATTAAAGATTTTGGTAGTGTAACCAGCAAGATATATGGCATAGAGGGACCCCCTCAATGTGATGCAAACCCTCTGGAAATCTGACAGGAATTCCAAAGATACCGTCATCACAAAAAGACACAATAGAGGGGGTCCCCTTTGCCACACATGGCGTATCAAATGGTGTAACCAGCCTTCCCTTGGGTATGGTCAACCGGTTACTGGAGGTATTTCTTGGTCAAGAATTTGTTCTGAACGTTCTATAGTCACATTCCCTACCTTGGGTGTGCATACCAAGTTGTTCGTTGTACATGTATTGACATTCCTAGAGATTATTGACCCGTTTAGGGCGTGGTTCTGCTATAAAGGCCCCGTCACACCCTGACCTTTAGCCAGCGTATGCCGACGTATACAAAAATCGAAAAATACGCTGAACTATCGACTTTTTCAATTTTGGACATATACATAGCGTATTCATAACGATTTGGACGTGTCCATAACGTTATAATAGAACGTTTCGATAACTTACAGATAACTTATATACGGTAGCTTTAAGTTACAAACACGCTCAGTATTTTCTGTGGTCATACGGAACACGTCAAATACGTCTACATACGTCAACATACGTTTGGGAAGTTTGGTATAAGTTTCCCATTGGTTCAAAGCACGCTACTCATACGTTAGAACTATTTTTGGGGTACGCTAGACATTATCTCCAATTTTTTCGACTTATGAGTAACCTACATCTAACGTGCGTGCGCGTGAGTCAACCATCCCATAGCTCACCTGCAACTTCTGACCCGTGTATGCGGGACGTATGGGCCATACGCTGGCTCAAGTCAAAAACTCTTGTGCTCGAACAAACATTTTCGATGACATTGCCGTACTACAACGTATACCAGCGTGCTTTAAACTTACCCATAATGTAATCGACGTACGCAAGCCTATTGACAAAATTGCTCATACGTTGGCGTACGCTGGCTAAATCGTCAATGCGGGACAGGAACTTTTACATGTTAGTAGGCCTATGAGCTCATTCCTGCACCAACAGCCATGCCTTAAGAACAGACTTTTCTGAAGTCTAGATTTTTTCACCTTCGTTTGTTACGTTGAGTTCTGTCTGCAGGAATCACAGTCCACCTCGTGAAGTCCAATAGCCCGGGCTACTTAATGTTGCCGTAACTGCTTACACAAGACATTCATAATTGACTTCAGGCGCCAGGCTTGTAAAAGCACCTTTATTAAAGCTCAACTTAGTCACTTCGTAAATTGTTTAATTCAGCTATTTAATGTAAATATGAAATGTGATTTGTTTGGAGTCATTTTGTATGTTGCGAGACTGTGGGTTTAATATGCAGATCTTTCGATATACTTCTTTTAGGTGTTTTTACCTGACCCACTGTTCTACAGTGGCCTTGCAAATCGCAAATTGTTAGATATAATATTCCTTTAGTAACATCGGATTTTCATAATTGAGTATATATTTTGTTTCATAATTGAGTATATATTGTGCTGCAATGTGAACACAAAATCGTTATTAGGGAATTTCTGACTTCTTCTCTACTTGTTACCATTCCCTGTAATGTGTGAGTAGTTTATATTAAACTATCCTGTTTTCTGCATTTCACACAATCCTCGCAGCTCCTTTGTTTTCATTTTGTCACCTTGGCTCAAGTTTCGTTTGGGTTCCTTTTTGCATTTTTGACTCCAAACTGCTTGGTTACAGTAGTGTACTGCTTTTGTTGTATCTATATTAATGCTTCACGCTGTATAACCTGTGAGCCATCTGGGCATTTAAGCCATATCTGTCACGGTCCATTAAACCGTTTTGTGCTCAGTCATGGGTGACGGAAATGTAAATTTCTTGATGTGATATCACACTGAGACAGATTAGATTACCATTTACAAACAATAGGCTTCGAGTATACAAACCATTGCAGTCAGAGTAGTCATGAATCTCCTCCTGGTTACTGGTAAAGATTGGAGTATCAGTGTAAAGCGGTCCCTGTGATCTTTGGAGCGGCACGGTGTACACAGGACCCGGCAAGATGCTGGTACAAGCACACTGATCGCTCTTACTACCAGGCAAGACCCAGCGAAGACGACCATTCTGGCTTGGGTCGGGCTCTTGGCTAAAGTAGCACACCTTCTCAGCCAGAACTGTGCCCAAATAGGTCACTTGCACTCGGAAAATAAGGCACCGTGCAAACTAAATGAAGCCCATGTACCAAAGGCCGTCGTGAGAAATTGGTGTGGGTTCTGAGCGTTCCACGCACATTTATGTGTGTAAAAGGTATTAGTGCCAGAAAATTGGTGTGAACCAACACGCTTGCGCAACACTCACTTGATAAAAATGGCGTCACACTTCAGTATTCTGTAAAACCTGGTGACTCCGACCTATTTAGGGCTGGGTCACAGCCCTAAATATGTGGGGTGTTTTGTGTATTTCGGAAGAAAACACATAGTGGGGCAGAAGATGGTTTGTCCAAGTGGATCAAGTTTAGCAAAGGTGTGCTTGTCTATGTATTTGCTTTTTAGCGTGTCGGTTAGGACTTTGTGAACTTTGAGTTTCTCGAATCCCTGTCTACTTTTTCGTAGTGGTGGCGTGGGCGTCAAGATGTTTGAAACTGACTTTTATGTAGTCCTCTCGGTTCATGATGCAAATGCTACGGCCTTTGTCCAAGGGTTTGATGACAACAGATTCGGGCTAGTTTTATCTTGTTGGCTTCCTAATAATTCTCAATAGTTGAATTTTGTGTGGATCTGGGGTGCCACGTAGATGAAGGTTTTAAAGGCCTGTCTTTCAGAACTTTGTTATGCATAAGAAATGCAATTCTCATTCGTCTTCGATATTTTTTAATATCACGGAGAAGAGAGAGACACTGGGGTTAAACCGGTAAAGCAAAAGAACCACGCAAACTGGATCAGTCTCTTGAAAAGGACAGGGGCAAAGAAAGCGATGAATAACGGTGTTAATATGACAAAGATACATAGGTAAAGAAGTCAGAACCTAGCAATGAAGAGGGGTTATAAGTAGACCACATTACAAAAAGCAACACAACATTTACCGGCAAACAATCAGATACACAACTAGACGAACATTAATCAGTACTGCTGGATATATTGATAAAACGGGTAGTTGGGTTATGCAACTATTCAGTTCAATCAGAATTTAGAAATGTATTAAGCAAGTGGCACGCAGATATAAATTAATGTACGGATGTAACTAATAAATATAAAAGTAAACTAGACAATAAGCCATATAGCATAATAGTAATATAGCAAATAAAAGCGATCGCCATCTCGAAAAAAGCTTTAAAATCAATCAGATCTTAACTGATATTAAACAACAGACAATTTGAGAAACTAAATGGGAACATTATTATTACAACTATTATTTACAACATTAATTGTTACAATTAGCTAAGAGGTCTTCATACGCAACTTCAGGTAAGGTAACTTCTACTGTTTGTGCACGTATTCAATTTAAAGTGCCACACGTGTGGCTTCGTTTCAGAGGTGCCTAAGCATAAATTAATCCTAAATGTCACGCATGAAGTTAAGTGAAATAGTTGATGGGGCCACATATAGGTGACCCAGGTTGTTACGAGTCAATAAAATGGGACAGGACACGCCGGCTAAAATTTCTTGACGTCAGTTTATTTCTGGAAAACGGGAAATGGGAGGAAATAAACAACACGTCTTTCCTCGTCTCTGGTCAGCATTCAAATAACGCTGACGAGGTTCCCGTTCACGTCGCCTACTCTGATTTGCCGATGGATTGTAATCATAAGAGAGGATATTTAAATACAAAAAGGGTAACGGGGAAAACTGCAAAATTATGAGGGGGGTCTTTTTGGGGTTTGGCAACATATAAATTTCACTAAAGTTCCTATTGTTTGGTAATTTATTAATAAAGTAAAATAAAGATGTTATTGCCACACGGTTGTAAGAGGATGCAAAGTCTGGTGGGTAGTGATTTTCGGGATTTGCAGGCAGGCAGAAAATTAAGCAGGACCAAAAGTGTATTGCATCATCAAAAATGCATTCTCAGTGAAGTGTACCGACGGCAGTCTTCCATTGACAACAACAGTCGAATTTCTAGTTTTCTCACTTACCTGAATAATTCAAACACAAATGGATTTTACCTACAGAGAATGACTTCGGCCATGAAATATTCAAGACCAGAAGCCTTCATGTCTTTCATGGCCGATTTTATATATACCAGTACATGATAATGGCAAGACAAACCTAGCAATGCTGGTATCCATTACATTTTAAGTTAGTTCATGGTTTTGTGCTCCATTGCTCATCCGTTCGAGTGAGACTCCACCTAATTGCCATCCAGTGTGTCTAAGTTTGGGGAAACCACTTAGGAGATGATCATGTATTTACCTATTAACTAAAACTTATTTCCATCGAGAAAAATTTTCTGCGCAACAATGTGAAATTTACTTCAAATTTCGATCCGCTAATTTTTCAAGAGGCATTCCAAAGGCTTTCCAATACATTTATACAAGAAAATGAGTATCAATTCTATTACAACATTGTAATCAGGAATACCTGACGAAGGTGATGTTTACATCATTCATTTGGTCGCCAAGAGATAAAAGGCACTTTGGTTTTCCGAAAGGCCTGCACTTGGTGTGCGTGCGCGGAAGCCAGTCGACATTGCAGTACTCATTTATACTTAAAGCTCCTCCTGGGCGTCAAGGGTGTCTGAACCAACCCCCTTCCCTTCCTATTTCATTAATGCAGCCCCGAATTCCAGGCCAGCACTATAACAAGGAGGGAACGAGGCTGCCCTTAAGCTTTAGCCAACGCTTCGAATTCATGCCAACGGGTTTTCAACCTAAAAGCACACATACAGCTAGTTGATTTGCATGTGGTAGTATTTCATTTCACAATGCATGTTATTCCCGTTATTGGCAACGTGGTGTTTTATGTTTTCCACCTTTTCAGATGGAAAGAAAATAACCAAGAAAAACGAAAAGTTTTTATCTCCTGAGATAACCACCGTCGTTTGATTGATATTCTCATTTGCTGGAACTGCACGTTTAAGTCTAGGGAACTTTTCTTCCCCGTCTATTGGCGCTTCACCATCACTACAATATCGAGGGAAAATTAGGAAGGTTGAAAGAAATATGAACTTACCCAGGATGACAGCAACAACTGACCCAAAAGCTAGAGGTTGCATTCTGGTGACTGCAGGCTTCTCACCCCTTGGAAATAGTTATAGCGTTCAACTCGGGTTGAGTCTCCTCTCAGATTCCAGAAAATTCAAAACAATAAGGAACAGGTAGACTAGAACCACTCCCTGTTAATAGTCCTCTTCAAAGCTCAGAGATCACCTGTTGTGTGAAAGTAATACGTATTCCGCAGGTTTGCACGATAACGACTTAGTCGTAGGCACAGTTCGACCACAGTAACAGTGGGAATTTTTTTCTTTTACGCATACATTTTGGACCAATGCCTACTAACTGCAGCCAGACACGTGACCAGTCTGTGGACAGTTACCATACCTTTCCTATTAAGTGAGGCCGACAAATCGCATGGTTGACTAATTACTGTTTGCTGCCATCTGCTTGCTGGCTACAGGTAGCTAAAATACAAATCAGAAATAAGGAAGGCCTGACGTTTCGGTCCTCAGGCTAGCATCGAAACGTCGGGCCGTCCTTATTTTATGATAATTATAGTTTGCGCTGTCGTGGGTGCGCTGTATACGTGAGTTTGTTTCTGCATTCAATTGGGGACTTTGAACAATAGAGGACAATAAGGTCCCCGATTGACAGAGGGTCCCCGATTGACAACTGTGTACAAAACATATGGGTGGTCTTGTAAAAAAGTTAAAGTACAAACAAAAGAGGAACAATAGGGGGTCCCCAGTTGCAGGCAAATACACACTTGTGTGTACATGATCTGCATCTGGGGCCATGTGCAATTAGTCTCGGCAGCGGCTAGCAGTAATGCAGGAGTACAAGGTATTGGAAAACGCTGTAGTCGATAGCCTATTACTTTCATTAGTACGCATATATTTCAGCCGCAGTCTGTCTGTCTGTCTTTCTGTCAGTCTGTCTGTCTGTCTGTCTATATGACATGACTAACGTGAAATAAATTTAAAATGAAAATGAAGAAGTGTACAGAGGGCAAGCACCAATCTATTATAGGACAAATTAGGACAAAGGTCCTTTATATAGGACGAAAACCAATAAATATGGGACAAAACTCACAAACAAACGACGAAACTAATAAACAGAGAACCAAAAATAACATAAGGGACAAAACCAATATAGACACTACAAAACTATATAGCGAAACTAAAATATGCAGATCGACACTAAAACAGCGTGGAACAAAACATATATATATATAGAACTAAACCAATAAATATAAAACGAAACTAATAAATAGAACGAAGCGCCGCCACCTCTACGCAAGACCGGTTGTGGTATAGACCAAAATGTAAAGCATATCGAATCCAAACGTAAAATATATAGAACGAAAAATTAAAATATATGGTCAAGTTCGGGCGGCCTGTTCTTTCACGGGTTTCTTGTTCTGGCGCTCGAACGGGGGGAACACGACTCGAGGACACTGTTCCCGGAACAGGATCACACACTACCTCCTCGTCAGGATTTTACAGGAACACACGGGAAAAACCGTTAGATTTTGATTTTTGAACAGCCGCAAAAAAATAGCGAGATGGCTTTAATACAAGGCCAGAGACAGTGGGAAGTTTGCAAAATTAATAATACTTATTTTCTATAACATAGAAAGAATGTTCCTTTTTAATAGAAAAGAATTCAGCCCAGCTGCCTAAAGTTTACTCTAGAAGAACGTACATGGATGCCGCCATGTTGCATGCAACAACCAGCGATAACCGGTCGTACGTTCCTGGCATTGGAGCGGCCGACTAACGAACAACAAATCGAGCTGTTCGTGAACATACGAGAACAAGCCGCCCGAACTCAGCCTTAAACTTATAAGACAAAGCGCCATCTACCGACCGGTTCGCGGAAATCGCTCCCAACCACGATGGAGAACTATTTCAATTGTTCCAAAGTGATGCTGAGCTTTCTCAATTGTTCCAAAATGTTAGGACCATACGGAACAATTGAGAAAGCCCCTCTTTATGGCTAAGCAACGTTGCCGGTTGCTGCTGTGGTTAGGCCGATTGGGATTGACCACGTTGTTGACAGTTGGCCTCCAGCGCCAGGGGCACTGCTGCCAGTGTTAGGCATTGCGTGTGTAACACTGGCACTAGTAGCAGTCGGCCTAGGCCCATTGCCAGTGGGTAAAACATTAGAAGCAACTAATTCATAGAAAGCGGGGTTTTAAAGGAGGTTGTCAACCTTCACATTACTCTCCAACTCTCAAGCCGTGGTTCAGGATCACAGCTCCAATCGTTGCAACAAATCTATGTGACAAGTAAAGTGTAGTGTTGTGATGTGCATCGTATCATCAAAAGTGTCGATGGAAAGAGTTTCATGAGAGTTACGGACAACACTAATTTTCATAACGGGATTACATCTCCCAAGATATGAAATTTAGCAAGGAAAATTCAGAAGCATTTACTTAGAAAACAATTTTTTTTTCAGACAGGTCTCATGTAGGTATGTGCACAGGGGCACCAAATGTTGTCTGTAAAGCCCGGTTTCCACATCGACGTAAAAAACGCAGAGAGCAACGCAATCAAGACGCAAAGTGCAACGCAGACAAATGGAAACATGTCAAACGGAGGTATCGCCGATAACGCAGATCAGACCCAGACGGATCGGCAAAGTTTGCGATGAGTCGGTGACTGGGCCTACATAAACGCGCACTGGCATGACGGGCGTACAACGATGTTTCTCTCGCTTAGTACCACTCATTTTGTCCATTTTCTCCTTATTGCTAGCATATGCAATCCTAATTGGCAACAGAAAAGCTGACCATTAACAACGTCAGACTAGAGTATCAGTTTGGCTACAAGAGGAATCATTGCCACCTGAAAAAGGCAGTTTTGGCGAAAATTATCCGAGTTTTGGGCGCCATTTTCATTAATTGTTTTGGTGGACTGACGTCGCACCGCGTCTCTTCCGCGGCTGTCTGTGTTTTGACGTCTTGCAAACCATCTGCGTTACAAAGGGCCATATGGAAACCAGGCTTTAACTCTTACCGTGCTGGGTATGGCGCGCGCTGCACAACCGGTCAGTAGAGGGCGCTTCGTCTCATTTTACGTTTTCGTTCTCTATATTGTTATATCATTTTCTAGTCTATATCGCAACCGGCCTCTCGTCAAGGTGGTGGTGCTTTGTCCTATTTAGCGGTTTCTTTCTATATTTATTACTTTGGTTCTATATTTGTTTTTAATTTTCGTTCTATATTTATTAATTTCGTTCTATATATTTTTTAGTTCCATTCTGTATATATAAGTTTCGTTCTCCGTGTATTGGTTTTGTCTTATATATTGTTTGCGTTCTCTTTTTATTAGTTTTGTCGTTTATTTATGGTTTTTGTCGTATTTGTATTGGTTTTCATCCTATATTAATCACCGTTGTCCTTGAAATGTATTTCTGTGTTATAGATATAGATTGGTTTCGTAGTTTATGTATTAGTTTTGTCCTACATATACTTCTTTTGTCCTTTATATATTTGTTTTGTTTCAGATTTATTTCACTTTCGTCCTATTGTTTGATTTGTTTTTTACAAATAAAGTCATGAAGGACGCCCCATCGCGGTTTACGTCAGAAAGTGACACGTCCCTTAAATTAACTGCGACCATTTTCATAGGATTTAGCGCAGCTATGAAGTTTATCATGGGCCATTCCTGTATTTGACTTCGCAAAACTACGCACATTAGCCACTTTTAATTGCATGGGCTATATAGCGCATTTCACAAACGTTAGGCATTCTGCACAACAATCTTGGACCTCCTACGAAGGCATTTGTGACATTTTATTAATCCTGCTCACTGCAAGACACGCTATTTTTTCAGTTTTATGATCTCTTCGGGAGACACAATATCTTTTTCGGGACTACTAAAGAACTTTTTCAGCTGAAGTGAAAACTCGAGAATAGCATTCCAATTCCGACAAAGACAAAACCTTCGTTAATAATTTGCTGATTTACTTTACCGCTGCAAAGGAACGGTCATCGTAATCGTGTTCGTCCAAAGTATTCAATCGCAATTAAAACCTTAGGTAGCAAAGTAGCTTTTTGTGAATCAACTGTACATATATACATTGGATTTAAGTGGAGCTCTGTTTCGTGAAGCCATCTACCAGTCGGCCACTGGACAAACCCGTGTGTGAAGGTCCACCTACAGGACACCTTCAGTGCTAGGTCCCTGAAGTATTGCATTTATAAGGACCATGTCAAATCGGTCGAGCAAGGAGCGAGTATTATACCGTATACCAAGCCAAGATGATACCAAGTGTATCATAGAGAATAAACGTGTAGCGTTCACGTGCGAAAGACGAGAGAATAGCCAAGGTTAATTTCCGTCTTAAGTTACTTTCAGGTTTTCATAAGAATCACGGAAAAGACTGTTAACCATTCGTAAATTCAAGTTTACTAACTGATGGAGTTAACAATCATTTTATTTTAATAAAATATCCTGCCTAGTGTTACAAATGTTTTATGATATCCTGTCAAATTATTCACGTGTGCATTTTTCCATAATAGCAATTACCAGAAAACAGAGGCTTTACAAATTACAGAAAAGCGTAGAAAAAATTTATTAGACTTTCCTTTGCTAAAGGGAAACAAAATGGTACAATTGAACCGAATTCGGTCATCTTAGAGAAGACAATTTTTCCTTTCTCAGAGCATAGGCCCTATTTGGGTATGCTGCATTTTTTAAAGCTTTCTTCGGCTAAGACTCTTTCCTCGAGGATCGATTGCTTTCTCCGCATCGTTTGTAATAATTCTTCATGACAGGTTTAGTGGACCAATTAGTGTTCGTAATGCTTTGGCCTGATTTGTCTGTTTTTCAAATTGGACCGTGTCCGAAACGGGTTTCCAGAGCTAAGGCTGGGTCTATTGTCTGCGCGTCTGCACGCATTTCCGATGGAGCGACGACCTAGCTAGACCTAGCTCTAGACAAGAGATTTGGATGCAGCCTTAGATGGCTAATGTCAGAGTACTAAAATCATTATCTGCGAGTGGCCCTTTAAAGAATCCTTGCTACGTATTTTGTTTATTAGGTCACATCTGAGCCCTCACTCGAGAATTTCTCGAGTTAAATCGGTCATTTAATTTTTGGTGACATTAGGGCAGGGTAGCAAGTACATACCTGTGTGGGCGGTAGGGATGTGAATGGTGTTGGTAAACTGACAAATTCCAAAACCTACATGTAAGTGAGTTAACATTACAGGGAAAAGTTTACAAACAAATGACAGGGAGAAAGCTCAGTTCGCCTTTATGCTTGTCATCCTAATGTTTTATGTATATTGTTTGACTAATTATATATTATAACTTATATTATACCAAACTCAACGACTTTAAATATTGAATGAATTAATTACCATTTCCATTTCAATCGACAATATATAGGAGATAGGGCCCTGAAGTGATATTATGACAAAGTTTGATTAAGTTCCCAAGCACTCCAGGTGGTGTGTTTATTCAGCCATAATGATACAGGAGAGTGGCCACCTAACGCACGGTGTGGTATTGCGCATGGTACAATAAGGTTCTTCGCTTAATATTACGACAGGCCCCTGCTAATGTCAACAACATTGTAGATTATTTACGACTCATTGGAATCATGCACGATTTTACCTTTGACAATACAGCGAGGCTAGAGTGTACAAGACTAGTTAGGGTATAACATATATCAAAACTTTCGAATATCTTACATCGTTTATTTTCACCGTGCACTGGAAACTGGGGGGAGCATGATGTCCTAGGAAGGTTCCCTTATCGGAGAGAGAGGGCAAGAGGGCGGGTCAGGTCCTCAAACCTCATGTACAAGCTTTTTTTCCATGTGACCAACAGTTGCTGCCATTGGAACTCATGTTGCCGTGCTGATACTGAACAAAATAATTATTTGACACGCTTCCCTTTCCGTTGAAAAATATGATTGATGTACTTGGCGTCAACAGTTCATCTTTCTGCTCTCAGGTGGTTCATTTCTAAAGCTGAATGCTGAACTATGGATCTGTGAGTAGGGGGGTGACTGGGTAGAAAGGCAAAGGCCAATTGATGTGGTATCTTTAGTCGTTGTAGATTACATAAAGTAGAGACCATGGGAGATTACAAAGCCGCCGTCGACACCGATGTTTGAGGGGGGAAAAACAGCCCTTTCTTCAAGAGCGCAATGGTCAGTTTAGTATATCCCACCTGTTGTTTCCCAGCAGTTTGTACCATTGCCATTCTAGGTTTGATTATTACTACATTCTCTACATAATATGTTTTCACGTGTTTTATTTATTCATATATATATATATAGTCTTCTCGAGATAGGCCTAAAGCAATACGCAGAAAGCATACAGTGAAATAATGACATGCCCAGCAGAACAAAAGCGCTCTGAACCCAAACGTTTCAAACAGCACACATTGTCCACGTAGAATACAGAATAGACTCGTCTGGTTTCATTAGACAATCAAATGGATTCTGCAGCAACAGGTGAACACGCCGAATAGTATATAACGGTACAGGCCTAAGCCAGGAGCATTTATTACAGCTATACAGTGTCGAGGTCGAAGCGACAGCCATCACCAGGTCTAGCCTTGGGAAGTTAAGCATAAAAGCAGCCAAACGGTCTCTTCCCGTAGGACTACTGTCATCCACGTTCCCGTAGACCAGTGCTATACTACCCCTCAGCGACGATCCCCTGCACCAAACTACCATAGCAAGATGTTTCAGACAAGTTTCGCAGTAATTCTGCCTTTCATGACGGCAGTGATAGTTATGTTTTTTGGACAGTCTGGTGCAGCCACTTTAGGCAAGTATATTTTCACTTACATTTCTGTTTCCGTTATTTGTTATAGATATTATCTACTTCATTTTTTTTAATTACCTCAACCCGACGTAAAGCTCACATTAGTGAGATTTGTTACAGCAGCACGACACTTGCAATTACAAAATAAAACATGCATAAAAGACGTACGTCTCTACAGTTTGTGCAAGTCGGTCATTAAAGTAAATCTGACGCCCTTCGTTACCATGGCCAGAGTTGCGAAATCAAATCCTCAATTATTGGAATGAAAATGGTTGTCAATGAGACAGTGCACATGGAAAATTAGCAAACAATGCCGGTGGATCACAGTTTTCATGAAAAGACCAAAAGAATAGGACCTACGTTTTAGAGAAAATCACATTTGAAGTTGGTCTCTATTCCAAACGCTTACTTCTCAATTTTTAACATTCCTGTGACTTGACCAATGCTACTTCAATGAAAGAGGGGCTCTTAAATGACATAACAAAATGATATTTATAAAAGCAATTCTTGATTTTGTAAAAAAAAAAGCACGTGACGGGTTCAAAATTATTACATTTATCTACGTTTCCCTGCAAAGTCAAATTCTCAATTTACGCACACAAAAGTGTGTGTGGCCATGAACTCACGACTGTAACAACAAAACCATGCGTTTAAAACCCTCGTTAGAGGGAGTGGCCTCTCCTGGCGAGTCCATTGGAGGTAATTAACATATTACTATTTTTTAAGTCCAAATTCCACGACTTCTTATCATATCCTACCCCTGAACATGCTGAAAAGCCTGGTTTAGTCATTTTACAGCCAGGGCCTCCCCTAGCCAGAATAAATGCCAAAAAACCAGACGGCCTTGAGCCAGCCTCCAGGCAATTCCCATAGGACTGTGTACTAATGGTTCCCTTGTACATAACCTAATGGGCTGTTTACAAAACTGTGCCTGGGGCAGGCAGTGGAATGTTCTTTATCAGTGACAGCTGTCTGGAACTTGTTAGAGGCCTCTGTCGGCTGTCTTTGAAGTGTTATTTTTGTTGGGGGTGTGGTGGTGGTATGGCTTGGCTGGCGCGTGGCCAGGGACCCCCTTCAAATCCGGTTAGCGTGGGAAAACGGCCCCCCGCGGTACTGTGATGTACTTTTGGTGGGTTTTGGTGGTTTGTAAGATCTGTAGAGGCTATGGGACAACCTCTGAAGCATTAATATACCTTCAGGACGGACTCAGGGCTCGGCAAACCTGAAAAATGCAATGGACTCAGCGGAATAGTCTGTCCCCATAATCGTGTAGGTTTGACCTCTGGATCGCGTCGTAGGGTTTTAATTAAGTTAAAAACTTAATAGTTGCACGTTTTATAAAGATTAAGCATGGAACAGCCCATTTCTTAGGACTAGATGCCAGCCCTAAGATGTGAGATGGTCCGAAGATTTCGCTTTTTTCAACTGGTGATACTGTGGCGTCATTTCTTGCCCACCTTTGGAAAATAAGTATATTGACATCTTTAATTTCTTCGGATGAAGCCTGAAATAAAAAAGGCCACGTCGATAAAGTGGTGCTAGCATTAAGCAAACACCTAAAACAAATATGCCAAACTGCAGAGGCCAAGTTGATAAAACAACACTTTTGTGATTCATTGGCAAATGCTCGGAAATAAAGTGGTCAAGTTTCCTAATTAGGATATACAGGTACTGTTATAAATGTCAATTGACTTTTGTATAAACATATTTCAAATGTTGAAAATGATTCGTTGAACACGAGTCTATTTCGTCCGTCTGAACTCAGTGCTGTTTTCTTTTTTCATTCTTTTCATCCGTTTTTGTTTTAAATATGTTGATATTATTTTCACAAAATATAAATAGAATCCCTAGCCAAAAAAAAGAAACAAAACCAATTAAAACACACAATCTAGCTGCTGTTCCTCCGAGAATACGATCTGTCAGTTACACATCATTTCGTGTTTTGCGTTGATTTCTAGTCAGCAAGCTCATTCCAAACACGGTAACTTCTGAATCTAGGTATGTCGTTTGTCTTTGCCAAAGAAATGATAGCCAAAGCGCAGGAAAAATGTAAGTACCAATAATATTGGAACGTCTTTCGAGTGATCAGACCTATGACGTCCCTCGTGCACGTAATGCGCAAATGTGATTTGTTTCATTCTCGTAGATATGAAGTGCAAGATGGAATGCGTGATCGTGACACCTGAGACGCGTTTTTCATTGATAACAGGATCTCTCAGTGATGCTTTCCTTCGGTTTAAACCGCTCAAATGACGCACCTTCGACAACAGCCTGAGCAATAGTCTATTTAAGTTACATGTGAAACTCATATATACCTGACTCAATTTACATCCACAGGGTGTCTTAAAAAAGAAGACACCTACATAACTTTGTTTCTGGAATTTGACAAAATGTTTTGTTAATGGAAACCATAAACTGTTTTATTATGATGTCCTCTTTCGTGTCACACCAAGAGATCTAAATTTCCGCTGCAAATGATTGAGTACGAAGTGGTTTAATGGACCAGATCAGAAATGGGTTTGCACCAAATGGCTGTGCACCCCAATCCGACTACCTACCGCTACTTACAAGTGGGGCTTGCACACCAAATGTGCCATGCTATAATCAGGTTGAAAAGATCGTAGCATGGACTATGTTCGGCACACTTTTAAGCTTGGAATGACAAGCGCCTTGCCACACAACTGAAAGCAACAGCTGCTGCGCGTAAGCTAAATTGGTCTTGCTTACAAGTGTGCCGAAACTAGTCCATGCTACGATCCTGTGATACCAACTGGGCGAAATTTATAGAGCTGCTTAAGCACAAAATTTGCTTAAGCGCAAGAAAACCTTACTTGATAAATCAGGTAACCAGCCAAAACACCAAGTCATGTATACTGCTTTGGGATGATAGTTAGCTGTCTTTTGGTTAGCACGACAATCAGATAGAGTTTGAGCTAGTAACTTTTTTTAAGCAATGTTTTTGCTTGCTTAAGCAATTCTTTTAAGCTCTATGAAATCGGTCACTGCTGCTTGTAGCATGGCGTATTTGGTGTGCAAGCCCCACTTATAAGTAGCGGTGAGTAGTCGCATGGGGTGGGCTGTTTGGGTGTTGAATTCATACTGTTCAGACAATTGTTTTCGCCAGAATTACCTGATGTTTGTTTGAATCTTCAAAACGCATAATACTATTTAGAAGAGATGAGATGTGAACAAGGGCAGAATTCTGCATCGAAAGAAATGAGAGGCACGTTGAGGGACACTGGGGTTAGGCGGAAGCAGGAATCAGCCCCTAGCCGTGGTTGTCTTTGAATTCACGATTTTGGTTGTGTAATCACGGACCATTGGTGTAATTCATGCTTCACGCTGTGCAAACCCATGATGCATCTGGTGCAAAGCCATAAAGTTCTGACACGATCCTTTAAGCTATTTCGTGCTCAGTCATGTGTGACGGAAATGTATATTTCTTGGTGGCATGAGAAAGATTTACAAATATCAAAGATTAGTCACATTCAAGAACAGATGATTCAATCCACGTTTCCGTGTATTTTTTAAACATATCACCAGCCCTTCGGCCTTGTGGTAGGCCTATACGAAACACAGACGCACTAGGCCTAACTTATTGTGTGTTCTTTTAGCGCAAGCATAATAACTAATTCAACTTCAAGCAAACTTGACGCACACTAAACATTTTATCCAGTAAGTGCATACTGCATACAGACTTAGGTCAACAGGGAACAATGTTTAACCGGAAGTTAGCGCGCAACCTCATTGTTAGGCCGATGGGGGCCTGCAATCAGTGGCGCGTCAAGGTGTGTGACGAAGTTACGAACTGGATAAGGGCAAATGCGCCACTTTTGAATCTACAGTAAATTTCGCAGTTGTGCGTTTTGCTTTTCGCTTAAAAAGAGCGCTTTGCATTGAGTTAGGGCGTCAGTTCGTGACAACCGCGTTTTCAACAATTTCGGTTTCATGACTGACACACAAGCTTGTAAAGACAACACAACGTGAAGAAAAAATGCTTTGAAAAGTCTGACGAGAATTTAATGCATCCATATACCCGTCGCGTTGCACAAAGATTCAATGGAAAGTCGTTAAAATGAAATTAAGAATTAATTAATTAATTATTAATTAATGAAATTGGTGAAATTAAGACCACTATCCGTTCACGAGACACGGAAATGCACGGAGTGCGCGCTGGAAGCGCTGCACTGCAGTACTGGTTGCAAGTTCATAAAACGAAAATAACTCGGTTTTCTAAATGCACAGAAATGAGATCATCTCACGCACGACTGCTATTTTGTGGTGTTAGTGACGTTATACAATTGCATGTTGCCATAGATCGACCAATCAGAATTGAGAATTCAAGTTTACCTGAAGATAAATTCTGATGTCATCATTAGACGTGGAACTTATTGGAAATGGAAAGAAAACATTTTATATGCTTAAACACCTCATTTTTTCTGGTTGTTGAAGCATACTAATTGTGGAAAGGTTAAACCTACTACAAAAATCAGTATCACTCTATAAACGCTGTGCATTTTGTTTACTTATGCGAGGTGCTTGTCGAATCGATCACTGTTGGGAAAAAAAGAGCATAAAACACAAGGAAAAATTGCAATACAAATGACCTTTTCTACAACCACTGGATAAAATGCGACAAGTACACGACGCAGTTGGGTAATCTGTTTGCCTAACAGGCGATTCACCGCAGTACAAAACTGTAGGACAAAAATGCCTAGTATGTTAACAGCATATGGAAAAGACCACTTAAAGATATGGACCCGAGTGAAATGAGCAAAATACTAAGCAGACTAAAAATATGTTTACAGTAGAAACGAACTGACGAAAGCGTGAACATACCAACTTTAGCAAACAATAATGTGGTGAATTTAAATCCACTTTATATAACATTGAGCGCAAGATAGTTGTTGACCACAAAATAGAACAGTGATTCACAAGCAAATGTATGGTAAACACATGACATGGGTGTGTGTGTGCAGAAACTAGCGACTGAAGACAAAAGAAAGGCTTTGAATTTTTGAGACGATTTGAAGTTTGCATGCAGATGTGCCTAAGAGCCTTTACTGACCTTCAGTGCAATAAAAGTAAATAATTGTTGTCAGTTATCATTTGGACAAGCAGCAGGTATATTTTGTTGTCACCAATTGCATCTAAGGCCAGCGGAAATTGAACGGGTTTTTAATTATAAAAATTAATTTTGCTTCGGTAGAAAACTTAAGCGCCCTATATAGTTACACTGTCATATAGTAAAAACGAAATCGTATTTGTCAGAAAGCAGTTACAAAAACAGCAGGTGTGTGTTTCATTACAATTAAATCTATGGAAATAGAGCGCCTTTTTATTTGTTTAGCTTGCAAGTTGTGTTTTACAGGACAATGTCCCATTCTTATCTGTTTGGGGCAAGTACTCTTACAACAAATTCTTGTTATTGCTGCCCTCGGTGTCCTTGTTGGCGACTCGCCGCTGTGCGTAATTCCCTTACTAATTGCAATCCCATCACCGGACACTTGACACAAATGACCATTCTGCCACACCGGCCAGGAAAGCCACTGAATCGTGTAATCGAGGTCAATCCGTAATTGATCTAATAAAAAAGAATGCACCAGCAGTGGTGCTGAAAATATATGTTCATTGTTTTGCAGACATGCACTTTCATCAATAAATTACAAAAAATGATAATGCGTCAAAAGACACTCAATTCTTCCTTTTAAGTCTTTAGAAATAATCTCATTTCGTTTTGCAACATTTGTCTTACCGTGCGGCAGATTTAACCCGTCATCATCCTGATAATCTTGATTTCAGAACTTATAGATAAGTCAGACTGACAGGTTGATTGATGGAGCACTGCGAGAACCATACACTCTTTCCATCATTTTATCCGGTAATCCATTTAAAGCAATTTTTTTTGCCAAGCAAACAAAACTATCTTATGCAGCACGATATGCTGTCAAAATAGGATTGATGGCTTGACACGCAACGCTTGTAATTGCTCTGTACTCAACTAAACGGTAGGCTCTCACTGCATTTTGAATTTACCTAAATTCGTGACCGCGTTCCTCAAGGCAAAAATGAATTTTAAACAAATAAAATAAAATAAAATAAAGTAAAAGAGATTGTCTTCGGGTACACTGATTACCAGAATTGATACGGAGACGCTTTTTTTTTCTCCTCGAAGGTTGGATTGTACTAACAATTGTAGACACAGGTTGTCAAGTCACGGGGCTAGATCAGCTTTATTATGCTGATAAGCTGACAGCAAATAACTTCGTATCCATAGTATGCTATCATTGTTCAACATCGACCTCGTCAGGATCTGTCGCCCTAAGTAAAAGATCGAGTTGCCCGCAAAAAATGTTGAGGTAGAGCAGCAATAGAGGGCGCTGTTGCAGCTTTTGCAGAAAAAAGAAGAAAAAACAGAACAAACAGAATGCTTTTTTCGCAAAATTGCGACCCCCCAAAAAAGTGGGATTAAATATGCCTTTCCATATGCGCGTCAACACTTGTGCCAAGCGTTGCGTATCCGTCAAAATTGCTCCCAAGGCGAAATTGACGGCTGAACGCAACGTACATGTATGTTATGTTAATGAAGTTGGTTTTGTGTTCTTGAAAGTGAAACGACGAACGTATCGTGTACGCAGCACATCCAAAAAACGTACATATAGCATGGCGCCCACGCAAGTTTAAGCCCAACACGCGCGCTGACCAGAGACAAAAGATTGTTTTTTGTTTTTGTTTTGTTTTTGGTTGTTTTTTTGCGTTATCCAACTAGGCACGCAGTAGTGAGCAGCTCGATTATCTCAGTGCAAACACTGATTACAGACGCCGAGTTGTTGACAGTCCTTGCACGCACTCCTTGAACCATGGGGTAGGAAAACATGGTTGAACGGACTTCGTCCGAAATGATGGGAACGGAAACCGGTGGTCAGAAGACAAACAAGAAAAAAATCTGCACTGGCACTTGTTGCTAAAGATTTACGCATTGGTTCTCATGATGATGCCTTTTACACCATTGATCTCCGTTCTTTGTCGAAACAGATATCCATAATGGTGATCAATGTTTTACACGCATCATTGTGCGCATGACGTGTTCATGTCAGCATTCTATACTACATCAGTATGGCGTGGAATTAGAAAACAATTCATGCAAACAAGATTAGGTCATACGGAGCAAGTCATCGGTAGGACCCAAACAGCCCCTAGGCCCTGTACATTTTCGCATGTGGGTCCATTATTTTCTGGAATGCAACCTATTACACTACACTTGCAAACCTGATTCAATCGTCACAACACTTTAATACCTAGAGGCAGTTGGCCCTGGGAAATTCAGTTTTTCTTTCTTGCAATCTTTATCCACTGCAGGCCACTACGGCGCTGATCCGACCAAGGTCTCGGTGAGTGGCGTGTCTTCCGGGGCTGCCATGGCCGTGCAGCTTCATGTCGCTTTCTCTTCCTCCATCATGGGGGTCGGTGCAGTGGCCGGAGGTGAGCTCAACTCGACAGCAAGACCATAAAGAAAGAGAACAACAGAGGATTACTTAAAACCGCAACTACGACTGAGGCATGGATGGGGGGGGGGCGACCACCCGTGGTCTGATAAAAACTAGAAAAAAAGTTAAATAGCATTTTCAATACTAATAATGGAAACTTCTTGCAAGGGTTATTTTTTTGTACATCAGTAACTTTATGAAATGTATTAGCCATGTGACTGCCTGTCCGTAAAACAGGACATTACAAAGTCTGACCGGCCTGACCCCCCGATATATTCCTTGATTCACCTTTGCAACAGCAGCAACATCGCACAGAATCCCTGATCAAAGTAAAGTCATCGATGTTTCTGAACATGGACTATGGAAAAGGGCAACTGGGATCAAATGCCGGGAGTGACAGTCGGAGCGAGGCACCAAACGCTGGCAAAACTGCCGCTTGAATGTAGATTGTGTAGATTGTGTTCTCCGAATAGGGTGGACCTCCGTTGCTATATTATATGACGGTGGGGGTCACGTGTGCCTTTTTCCTTTTTTCCCCGAAAATGTCTCTGCTTATTATGATTTTTTTTTCCAGTGCCGTACTACTGCGCTCAAGGGAGCGCACTGAGAGCCACCTTGTATGAATGTTCGGCGGCTGGGGATCCATCTGATGTCGACATACAATTTCTGAAGTCCAAGACAGAGACATGGGCCAGTAGCGGCAAAGTGGACAGCACAAGCAACTTAGCATCAAGCAGGGTCTATTTGTTCAGTGGAACCAACGATTTTGTGGTAAAACAAGGTGAGGGAGTAAAATGCCACTCCGTCTAGAAATGAAGAAAAAAACATTAAAGGGGAGTCGTCTTTTGCAATGAGACAACAAGCGAAAATTGAAATACCTTTCATTTACAAAATGTGAAACAAAACGACCTCATTCTTCCAAAGAAGCCATAATAAGGGTGCGTAAAGACATATTTCGGCCCTCCCCATGAAGAACACTCACATAAATGGTTTTAAAACCGCCCCTGTGACCATGAGCTGTTTTCCTTGAACCACTTTTCAGGTCTTGTACACAAACTAGAAGATTACTATAGTGAGTTCATCTCGAACACAGACAACATCAAAACGGTGTACAACCAACCGGCTGGTCACGCATTCGTAAGTACCCGTCGCCTTCAACTTGTGTGCACTGTATTGTAGAATGATATAAAATCCCAGCATATTGTAATGAATATTGTTTTCCTTCCTCCATGTTTTTATTCCAGATCACTGACGACTACGGAGCCCTTTGTGGGTTCACCGTAGCTCCCTTCATCAACGATTGTAACTATAAAATGGCCTACCACATCTTGAAGCACATATATGGCAACCTTGAGGTATTTTATGCCCTAATAATTACATAAACAGACGTTGGTTTCAACCTACAGGTGTAACACGCCAATATAATTGCACCAGCATAAACTGAAAGGAATTTTATGCTCGAAGAATTACCTAATAAACCAAAATGTAAACCATGGAAATTACATGAGTTATGTGAATTAACAAAGTACTTGAATATAATTGTGTAATGTATTTTTTTTATATTAAAAATCTGTCAATAACAGTTCAACGAGTGAACATGATGTATATCAGGTAGAAAACAGCACTTTACCCATGACAACAAGCATGTAGGTTTGAGTCGGCATCAAAACCAAAGGGCGCTTAACTGTTAACGTTTCTCAGCGGCCGCTTCCGTTTGAGTCAACATTCTCGCATAATGTTCTGCGTTGTCAGTGAATAGTAATCAAAAGCATTTTTCTTGTTTGTTTGCTACCAAGGAACCAACGAGCAGCACTACAGCAAGCGGACAGGTGCAGTAAACCTTTACTTCTTTTTTGAGGCTGCAGGTTGTGAGATTATTGAAGCGCAGTCCGGTTACTGCTACAAAACACTGTCGATACATATTTACTCCCAATAATTAAGCGACGTCACTGAAAGGCCGGTAAAGCCCAAAATGGACAAATATAGGCCTATGACTACTCCAGACGATCATGTTTTCTTCAGTAACCCAATTAAGCAGCGCAAACGTAAACATTACGTATCCAGGTTTTGGTGTGTGTTTGTGTGTGTCTGTGGGGGGGATTCAAAAGCGAATGCAGCTTTATCGGGGCTCATTCAACATAATGTTGTGCAGAGAAAATATCAAAAGCCTTACTCCCGACATCCCTGTTTTCATTTGCTGGTGTCATTTTCTCAGGAACGTGGTGCTATTATTTGAAAAAAAATATATCTACCAAATACTTTCTTTCCTGCCCACTCATTCTTTGTAAACAAATCCACTGAAATTTCCGTGTGTGGGGGGAGGGGGCGGATCCTGCTGGATACGCCGCTGGCCCAGCCTCTATGTAATTCACATTCACTAGGTACAAGTCCATTGTTGTGGTTCAGTCTGTTAAACTGCTTTGACTTGACCGTGGGACAAGATAAAATCCTGTGATTGAATTGGGGATTATCCCTGAATATGACGGAAATTAATGTGGGCCTATACAGCAGCATAAAGGACCTATGAAAACAGATGATCAAAACTGCAAACCAACGTAACCAAGCAAACCCAAAGAATCAACGACAAAGACACGTATCTGTAGACTAGAAGCCCTGTTACGGGGCAAAGTAAAAGCTTAATGTCCTGTTTATTAGCCTATTATAATGGATATTAGCAAACAAAAAAAGCATACAAGGTTTGGAAATTACGCAGCATAAACAAAATTGAACATTAGTACTGGCAAAGTTGTCAATCTTTCATTGCTACTGTTAAATGGTGAGTCCTGAATTAAATAATCATCTGTAAGTCCACGGGGGTTCATGCTCGATTGATCTTCATCTGTCTCATCAAATGAAATGCAGAAAGATCAATAACTAATCAATCATTTCATGGATCTATTGATTTCTTTACGTTACAGTTACTGGATTTCTCCCAGACAACGTTTTTTCCGTTTTACTATTCCATTTACCGTCCCATGATGTACACTGGGTACATCTACGTACCAACTGGATGCCAGTCGTCTACGTCAAGTAAGTGGGGGAAGAGTTTATCAGTTTGGACTCGTTTATGTAATTGATTTGGCCGATCTATTGACGGCATGAGGGACTGGTAAACTCCCTAGACCATTGTCTGACATGGACGAAATAATGCTGATTGACCAAATCACAGTCCTCATTTTCCAATATAATCTGTTTCGATATGATGTCGTATTTCGTATGATACCAAGAAATCGACATTTGCGGCACACATGACTGTGAACAAAGTGGTTTATGGACCGTGTCAGAAATGGATTTGCACCAGATGCATCATGTTTGCACAGCGTGAAGCATTAAGTACACTGCCAAATCATTAAATCGACAACCACAGTTTAGGGGCTAATTCTCGCCACAACCTAACCCCAGCTGCATTCAACATGCCCCCCCCATGCAAACTTCTGCCCTTGTTCTCATCGCGTTTCAGTGGTTTACAGGCATTTTAGAGATTCGAGCAAAAATTACGTAATCCTCACAAAATGCCATCTCTGGACATAACGAATACAACATTAAAGCATTTGGCATAAATCAGTTTCTAATTTGGTCCATTGAACAACTTCGTGCTCAGTCGTCTGTGATGAAAATTAGGATTTCTTGATGTCTGGAGAAAGAGGACATCACAATTAAACCAACACCATGTAGTTTTATTACTGTTTTTTGGTGTCAGAGCAGGGGTAGAGTTTCTGGGAAACACTGACTGATGTTTTATTAGCTACCGCATATTACTGTGCCAAGTACATGTGCCAAGCGTAGTCGGGCATCAATTTAACGACATCAATGTACGTCTGACAGAGATTGAATATGCAAATAATTCAATACCTGCGTGTGCGAGCAGGTAACGACGAGGGTGCATTACGCAATGCAAGGAACGAGGTTGCTCCACAGACGTATTAACACATAGACCACCAGTCTTGCGCGTATAACCGTGGTTTAGAAAAGCGTTGGCGAGCACGTGGGCGAAACGATGAATGGCAGCGCGTTCAGTGCGAATAGCGCGTGACGCACTGGGAATGCATGTAGTTGTTTACATGTGCCGTAAAAAGACGCTCCCTTTTTACTTCTTTGTACTACCATCTCTTCATTTCAAATGCTGCAACCGATGCACTGTTTCGAATCTGCATAAGCCAATTTATGTAAATGGAGATTTCTTTTTACAATCGGAAAACGGTTTCGTAGCATCTTTAGGCTGGAGTTCTTCAACTGTGTGTAAATTCCCTATATCGAGGGGTCAATTTGCCCACGCTTTTTGATTTAGTCGGGTGCTGTCTCGGCTACAGTACCCCGCCGTAGTTTTGAATAGGGGCTGTTCAGCTATGGTTTATATGTCTGTGAGTTTGCTCCATAGACAAAATAAACGCATACATCACCAGATCCTATTAAAACTACAGAAGTATTCCGTAATCTGCGCGGCGCCCGACTGAAATAAAAACTACAGGCGAATTCACCCCTCGGCATATGGTATTTGCGCACAGTTGAATTTCAGTCCCCAAATTCCATGATGCCGTTTTTTATTGTGAAGAAATCCTTTAGGTACTCAATCGGGCCCATGCAGATTCAAATCAATGCGTTTAAAACATTTTAAAATAAGAGATAGCAGTGCCAAAGAGCGGGAAAAGTGAACGTATTTTGGGAGCACATGTAAACAAGCGCAGGTGATGTGTGTTGCGCATATTGGGCACCGAACGCGCAGTCATCCACTTTTCCGCCCATTGTTTGCCCATATTTTTTCAAAATCGACGTTACACGCGCAAGACTGGCGGTCTTTGGAGTAACGCCAAACAAGAACCACTAATTCAGTTCAATAATTATGTGCGATTACATATCAGATTCTATTAACAGTTACTTTCTTTCGTTACAGACTGCAAACTGCATGTGGCTCTCCACGGATGTTCGCAGACGACGTATGTCAGTATTGCAATTTCATACCAAAACGTTTACACATGCAGTTCGTCTGATATGAAACTGTCAGCTGCTTCAGCGCTTCGCTGTTCACCCTTTTTTTCTAGAGGATGTCTGAAACTGGCACTCCACAGACTCCCCGACTCAATTGAGTCGGGGCCATAGCGTTTCTCCTGACCGTTAGAACAAATCTGTTTGACAATCATCCTCTCCATCATATTAAAGAGGATGTTATTATGCCGCGTTTCTGATGTGTTCCTTTGAAATAGGCAGCATGTGCCAGGGGCGTTTCCCTCTTCCCTTTTCTCCACAGTGGGTACGCCACTGCACTACGGATGAAAAAAACTTACGTGCACTGCGTGTGCGCGAATAATTGAGGTTTTTTTCCCCAGTGAACAGCTCTACTAGCACAGAAAATAGATAGCCAACTTACATTTAAATTTGTCGGCCTACTTTAAAAAGCGATTTCAGAAATACTTTGAGGAAATCTGTCCTGTAACGTCATTAGGGCAGTGTGCTGTCTGCTGTGCATGTGGCCAGTTTAACATTGAGCGTAAGTTCATTGGATATACGGTATAGGCCTTATTTTGTCACTTTAACATGCACTCGCTTCGGTTAAAGGCAGCTCCAATCATGTGGTTGTTGGACTATGGTTAAGCGTTTGCTCTACCGTATTGCTCCGCTATTACCAAACTTATACCAAACTGGGTTTGGTCTAAAACAGGGATCTGATATTGAACCAGTTCTACACGAAGACAGGTTTCAACGAGGTGGGCGAATTAAACAACATCATCATCCTGTACCCGCAAGCAAAGCGCAATTCTTTCTTGGGTAACACCGCTGGTTGCTGGGACTGGTAAGTGCCTTAAGTAATGGCCAAAAATCTACGCCGATCACCCACATGAACTTCCCACCGATCGAGACTGTAGGAGGCGCTGTAAACAAACACCAATATTGGACGTCGGGAAGTACACGCATATCACGGGCACGTGGGCCTTGGCAGTCTGAATCATCTTTCTCCAAGTCTCTAACCCACGATTACTGTTAATGTTCGAGGGAAAAGCCACAGCAGAGAGCTATCGATCAATCCTTGGAGGCTTTTCAGCTCCAAGTGAAGTCATCATTACGAAGGGGGACTCCATTTTTCTAGCAGGGAGGGGCTTAATTTCTGTGCAGAAAGCAAATGTAAATACTGCGTCTTAACAACGCGTTCAGTTTGCATAAAAATGACTTACATCTTCGACTATAAAGGTCGGGGAAAACAAACAAGATACTAAGAAAACAGCTCAAGTTTGTTTAAAAGTCGAGCTTTTTTAATAAGTTAATTTCACCGACAACTAAAACTTCAACACTTTCTCTTGCAGGTGGGGCTACTCGGGCAATGACTACGGTAAGCACATAATGATTTCGTCTTTTTTTGTTGAACAATTTCCATGTATGATTGTCGTGTTGTTTATGCGCCAACATTTTGTAGTGATGCATGCTAATGTGTTTGGTACAATTTTATTCCTGGACAAATAACAATACGAATAAGTAACGATCCTAACTACTTGACACGTATCCACCACTGCACTATCGATACAACACCGATTTTGCATGCCTTTTCATCACGGTTTAATACATGGAGTTGTTCTTAGTAATTCTCTGGACATTGTCTTTGGAGCAAGACATGTTGGGTATACTTGAAATCCTGTCCGCGTGACTCCTAATGATAAAAAAAAAACAGCACGTGAACGTACATGCGACACTTCAGTTTTGACCTAAGCCTGTAACCATCTACGAACGTCTAATGTGACAATGTCATGCGTTTGCTGCAACAACAACGCATGCGCGTCACTTTATTGGTGTGCTAGGGTATCGGGACCCTCAGATACACGTACATGTATACTACAACATCTATGATCAGAACGATATTACGAAACTGCAGTATCGTGAAGCTGGAAATCTAAACACGGAATGTCGTAACAGTCGTTACTTTCTTGTGTTCGATAACAACCCTGTAGCTGCCGGACAGTAAGCGCAAATTGAACAATTGCTATAGCTTTGAAACAATGGTGTCTCGATCTCCTCTTGTTCTCCAGCAACCAAGACTGGTTGGGAGATGAAAGCCATCAAGGGAATGATCGATCGCATTCTGGAGTAGCAGATTCCAGACGAAGACGTGGTATGCGTCTCGAAGGCGTGGTTTAGGCTACCGTCGTGCCCAGACTTATGCCTTGGCAAAGATGTGGAATTTGAAGGATATCAGTTTTTAGAAACCGTAGCAATAAGTAAAGGTAGTGCATGCTAATAAATTGAAGTTAACTCAAATGACATGTTTATTCATAGTCACATTAGCAGCAGAAATGATGCATTAATCAGGTATCATCAGTAATTGTATACTAGGGTATATTTTAAGACAACCTCAGAAGTTTGATACCAAAAACGATAAGGGAATAGTAGCACACAGACTCTGATAAATGGACAAAGGAGGGAAACATGGGGAATTTTCCGACAGTCATTCCAAACCAGGGATTAAAGCGCACTAAAATGCACAACTCCAAAATCAGAATGTTCATTACCATATCCAACCAATTTTTGGCAGAAGTAGTTGGTAGGGCAACAAACAAAATGACGAAACACGTCAAAAAAGACAACTAGCGAAAGGTAGAACAAAGACCAAATAAAAAAAGCAAATGTTTCGAATTTGGATGTGTTCCTTCTCCTACCCCAGTTTTTCCTGACTACTTTTATCTGCATACCAAGCATTTTGAAGTTGAAATCGGAGTATGTGCTTGATGCTGTACATTTAATTTGACTGCAAACAGGTGAGTGAATGAAGTTTTTCTGATGTGTTGCCTATGCTGTTTCCATCAGGGGATACATTGTTAGAATTAACATCAAAGATGTTTAGTATTCAGGCTACCTGTATTTAGAAAAAGTGGTTTTCTGTTGCGTCTGAACTACAAATGTACGTGGTTTACATTTCCTCTCTGGTTTAATGCCGAAATAAAAATTGAGAAATGAAATCTCAGTGAGTCCTGAATGTATTGTCAGTCCAGCCATGTCGAAGAATATGACGCTTGGCCCTCCTAAAGCATCTCTCTGAAATAAAAAACCACAACTTCTTGTCGACTGGATGTTGCTTAAAATGAAAACGACAGTGTCCTAGCAATGTCTACGACGTAGCCTCTGGTCTATTTTGTGAAAGAGACACAGGAGCAACATCCGCCTTTGGATATTGCCCATAATTTTTTGAGGGGTACTCCAAAACAATGGAAAAGTTGTGCCCGGTTCCCAGAATGCAATGCGTTCCTCCATTTACATGTAAGAGGTTTAGGTTTTTATAATTTACTTTAATTACAAATTTTCTTGACATTACACACCTCAAGCATGGGCTCAAATACAGTTTGGTATGATCATGCACTTATTGGGGAAGAATTCCTTCTACATGCCTCAAGACAAGCCTAAGACCTATGATTGAAAAGCCATGACTGAATCAACTGGCTGTGGCTTGCAGTATCACATATGACTATGGAAATGACTGCAGCCGCAAGCCGGCGGCTGCCACAGGTGGACCTGTGTGCCTAGCCACAGCCAGACCTTTCCAATGTAGCCGCGGCAGGCAAGTAACGTGATCGTCACCACAAAATGAGCTGGAAGTCGGACATTTTTGAAAATGGAGATATTGGTTTTTTTTTATTTCAGCACACAAAGAGCTTTACAATGGTAAACAACACTTAGGGTAAAAGTGAAGTGACAATGTAACATTCTTCCAGCAGCTTTCTGTCTTTGTTCCCGATATGGTTTCAACATTTCAGAGCAAGCACAAATAATGCTGTTATCAAAAACTGGAGAGAAAATGACATTTTTGAATATCTGATCCTGCAAAAAATATGGAACTAGATAGATGGGTTACTCTCTCCAAATATGACGGAACCCAAAAATTGATCTTCCTTACAATTTTTGACTTTGAAGCGTCACAGTAAGAAATGGTGCAGTGTGACTTTATGCTCATTTTGTCATGACAGGTCACATATGCATTCATCTTTATTTACACTGTGCAACTGATGACCTCGTGACTTCTGTGATGTCACGAAGCGTCATCTTGCCTGTAGTTCTCTGTTCTCATTTCGAGGAGACCCAAGTCGTCGTCTTGCTCCCGAGTTCGCTCATACTCCTCCACTGTCAGCTCAGGATCCTCGTCTGGAGCGTAGACATTCTGGTAAGAAAATGAAAGCACAGATAAAGGCGAACGGTTCTGGAGAACTTTCAAATTTGAATCGCTCCTTGACAACAAAGTAAAGACTGAATGTTTCAGTAACTTCTCAGGCGTTTATTCACTGATCAGGAACAAGAGAAGGCAAGCAGTGGGAACTCGACAGCCCGCAGGTTGACGATTAATTGGCACAGATGTAGTGAGATGAAACATTTCTCCCACTAGCCTGTCTTTTCTTTGCCTTTGGGGAGAGGGGTTGTTCTGAGTCGCGGCAGACAGGAACACCTACTACTGAAGGCAATGTCATTTATGAAACCTGTGTCAATGTTTGCACATGGCATTAGTGCAATCAATGTGTTTGGAGGAAAACACAGCGTGCCATGTGCAGTGAGTGCTTTTCTCCCTTGAATTTAAAATCTTTTTTTGCCCCTTATTTTCTCAGTAATGACATTTTCATCATCAAACACACAACAGTCACGAAAGTGTGTAAGAATATAAAATTGTCATGAATTTCCACACTCGCAATTGGCTTTACAAGATCTGCTGCGTCAACTGACAACCCTAATCCTAGCCACTACACGCTTGTGGTTATTTCTCTCTATTCTCTAACTAAACAACATGCATTTTGTAGTGTGTATAACAAATGACGGCTGAGTACTTCAGTGAGCTCACTTTCATCAGTGAAGCGGCCAATCCTTTTCTTTTGCACAACCCAACCAATTATCAGCGGACCCTTCAGAAGTGATGTAGCTGACAGCATTTGGACCATAATTACTGTCAGCGTGATTCACTGTGACCCAACCCAACAAAATGAGTACAGTGTCACACAAGCCACCTTTGAGGTTAAAGGCCTTTGCAAGAATCAGACAGAGTGGAAAGCAATGGGGACCTTCAACATTTCATAACGAGCAGTTTTATCAGGATGCCAAATTGAGTGATACATCAAAACGAGGAGCAACGTTTGCTCTTCCTTATGCGAACTGTAAATAAGTTATGACAAGAAATGGCCTTAGGATTCATTTTATGGGATCCGGTTACAAGTTATTCTCACTAGGGGAAGCCTTCTTGATGCTTGGAGAATTTACTGTATCATATGCCTGGCAGTCGGATGCAAACTGGTCCCTGGCCTTACCTGTATGTAGCAGTTTCCAGCCGGGTCATCAAGTATGACTGAAACAAGGAGCTTACCAGCTATGATCTAAAACAAAAATCAAAGGGGAAAAAAAAAGGCCATACAAGACTTGAATGCTGCTGTAAGTCAATCATATGCCACCTGCAGACCCATGGATGTGACCTTTCTACACTTCAAATGGAATGCAGATTCACGTGGTAATAGCGCCTACCAATACAAAATAGCGCACTCCTAGTCCAAATAACGCACTCCTAGTCCAAATAGCACCCTCCTAGTGTGTTCTTCGTACATTAAATAGGATACTGGACGTTTGATAGATTTCACCCCCCCAACGCAAGTATGCTTTCACATACCTCGTCAATCTTGTCAATGAACTCCTTGAGTTTGGTGCCGGCGCCTTCTGGCGCACTGTCCTGGCCCTGCACCATGGAGTAGGGCCGCAGGAGTTGGGTCTTGACGTCCGTCAGGAGGCCTTCCAGGGTGGTGAACTTGCCCCCCAGGGTGCCCATTGTCAGCTCAAAGTTCAGGTCGGGGATCAGGAATCTGGATGTGTCCGACTGATTCAACAACAACACAATAAAATGTCTCAGCCACAGAAATGCTAACTTTTTATTGACAATCACAGGGTACAGGTGCACAATTACTACTAAAAGAGACCACTTTGTCATACTGTGAATTATTGGCGTTTTTGAAATTGATTCATTACGTCAGTGTGGAGAACAACTCGTCTTTAAGTTTGCAAAATCCTTACTTGTATCTGACAGGCATCGCCATCTCTTGCCACCTCAGCGTAGCTTATAATATTTTTCACAACATACACTCAGGAATTCATGCCAATTGGAACAGCTGAAAATAAGGACTCGCAGATACGAATCATCACCAATTCCGTCAATGATTTGCTTGTCAAAGTAATTAAATTTTATGATTTTAATAGTTATTTTCTGACCTTTTATGTAAACTGATGGGTGTAAGTCCTTGGACTTCTTCTTTGGTGGTGTTTTATAATAAAGCCGAATTGAATTTGAAAGATTATCAAAATTCCTAGCATGACTTGTATGCAATGCCAATAAGCTAATGAGTCTTTGCAGAGTAATTTTTGCCACAACCGTTACAAAAACACTTTTGTGTTTCAATTAATCTCAAGTTTTGCTGTGGATTTTAAAAAGTACTTCGGTACCTTTTGGCGTATTATGCAACAAATGTCAGGTCCTTATTCATGAGCAAAACTATGATGTACATGGCAAAATGCCAATGAGCAACCCTTTCTCAGAAATGTTTATATTGAACACAGTTCAGTTCATAATTTGAACCGGAGAACCTGTACACTGAGCATCGTCTTCCCTGACTGGCATCACACCAACAGCCAGATTTGCTGACTTGAGTCGGACTCGAGACGCTATTTTTGTGACTGGTGACTTGACTTGTAAATACCAGCTTTGACTTGTGACTTAATTGACTTGGACTTCCAAAAAATGACTTGTTACCAACCCAAGTCAAACGCTACTCGACCAGCCCCATACATTTTTATAACTCTTAACTTCGTAAGTTGACGCCTGGTTCTTTTCGCTTGTTACAGCTGGACAAAATAATGTGCAGCTTGACTTGTACTTGGACAAAGGGACTTGACTTGTATTTAGACCAAATGACTTGTGTTTAGACCAAATGACTTTTGACTTGACTTGCCCTGTGACCAAATGACTCGTTACTTGACTAATGACTGGACCTAATGACTTGACTTGGACTTGCATATGATGACTAGTGACTTGACTTGGACATGCAAAATTTGACTGGCTGCCACCTCTGGCAACAGCGCCCTCTGTTTTCCAGGAACAAATTGGCAATTTTCAATGTTTTAAACGGAGCACTGACTAGATTTCCCATTAACATTCCCATCCCTTCAAGTGACACAAAAATGTTGCTCACCTTTAAGACGTCCCTGTTCAGATCCACGGCGGCGTCGGTCATCCTCAAGGTTATCCTCCTCCCTTTAGCCTCGATACCCGCCCCCGATTTGACCTCCGTGTCTTTGTAGCCACAGGAGTCACAGTTGAGGGCCATCAGGATGACCTCCTTGAAGTAAGGGATGTCTGGGTTAGGCAGCAACGTTAGGGAATGAACAGCACCTCCTTGAGATGGACTTACATGTAGCCTGATACGCAATTATCCGTACAGCAACAGAGGAGAGATTTGTATGTACAGTACATTGCAACTGAAAGTTGGCCTAGGAATGGAAACTTCTCTTCACATTTTGTTCTCTTCCCTGGGAATCCATTTTTTTGGACAAACTTTTCCCACAAGTGGAAAAGGATTTTCAGATTTTTGCAAAAGAGGGAAAATATTTCCGCAGATTTTTCCCACAAGTGGGAAATGAATTGTCATACATTTTCACCCAAGTGGAAAGATTTTTACCCCTTGTGAAGTACAAGCATGAATGTGATAGTGAGTTCTTTTCACAAAATTCCCTACTCCAATTTAAAGGGCTGACTTTCAGAGTATGCAACGTACTTTCAGGAATGCTTGTGCGCAGACCACTAACACACTCTTTATCTGTGTCTTTGTAATTCCAACGGAATAAAAATATTTTCAAGATGTATTTTGGCGTTGGGGAGATGTTAATTTATATAACAGGTTTTGCCCTTAGCAGGAGGTCGTGGGTTCGAGTCCCACCCGAGTAAGCTGGTGACTTTTTTCGCAAGCTCTCGGACAAGCACTGAGCATACAGTGTTTATTAATATATACGTTGGGTAAGGGCAAAACCCGTTATATAAACTGAATAAAAATACATGTAGGCATGGCAAGCAGAGACAGATTAGCTTCCAAGAACCGTTCAGCTGAGGGACTGATGGAATTTTGAAGGATGTACCAGGATCAGTCAACTTGAATGCTGTAATTTCATCCGCTTTGATGGGCTGTAAACATGTCTTGTCTGCAAGGACAACGTGGCATTCTTGAAAAAGCAAGCCATTTCCAACTCTACTTAGCACATCATTCCTGCCACTGGTATGCAGTGCATGAGATGCACAAGATGATACCACCATTTCTTGCAATATCTCAGGTCTCACAGGAAAGGTCACAGAAGGTCACATCTTTTATCCCTTTGACTTCTGTGCACAAGCATGGCACAAGAGACTGACTGCTGAACGCTGTGAAGTCGGATGTGAATTTGAAAACGCCGCATTAGTCTACGTAATGCTTGCAGAAGGGTGTCCATTGGTCAGTAGAATGATGTCATCAATACAGATGTACATCCTGGCTCTATGAACATGCAGAACAGTGCAGACCGGTTAGGCCTACATGTACATGTAAACATTTATCTGGGCTGAGGTCGGATTGCAACTGCATTTGTGCATGTGCCAATCTACCTTTAACTACAGAAAAGCACATGTCCAAGGTCTGACGCAATCTTTGAAACATTATCCATGGAGGGCTGCCTGAGCCTGGCCAGCTGACAAACTACTATGGTTAGCTAACACCTGTCAGTCAATCAACGACTGTTAGCAGCTTGCTGTTGGCGATGACGTCACAATTTGCCCACGCAACTTTTATTTACTACTATGGCTAGCACATGGAGTTGCATAATATTGAATGCTCATACACATTAGGCGTCATTTCAGAGCCGTGGACACTGTTGAACAAATGATGAAATGCACACTCTATGAGGATGGATGGCACCGTCAACTTCCTTCAGATGCTAAACAATATCAAAGGATACTGACAAGTTTCATTCTGGACGTGGTGGGAGCATTACAGCTGGAGCAGTTGACAGCAAACTCTAAAACCTCGTCGGCCATGTTGGTGGGCTCGGAGTCACCTGTTTCTCTAGTCTGCTCTTCTTCCTCCTCCTTCCCTGCCTCCTCCTGCCCCTCCCCCTGCTGGGGTTCGTTAGTAGCATCTGCGTCCTCGTCAACCTACAGGAGCGGAGACCAAGCCCATTAGCCCTTTTCACTCCTTTGCCATGCAGACCGTGAAATACCAGTCCAATGGTCTTGCACATACCAAGGACTTTCCATTTAAAACCAAGATTCTGATGCACACAATTTGGATGACTTGTTTGAGGACTGGATGGCAAAGTTTCAGCGATTATTAATAGGATCAAAGATATTTTAGTGACTTTTGTCACTTTCAGGCAATGAAATCAATGTACAAGCCCAAAACACCGACTATAACGATTATGTTCACTTGTACATGTAGGAGTGGGTAAAGAAAAATGGCAAGGGTAACCCACAAGATCAAGTCTGAATTTGAAACCCAATCCCCACATCAGCCTTGGTGGAATTCGAACATGGGGCTGCAGAGATGGAAGGCAGGAAACACACCACTTTGACCTGACTCCCTGCATGTGAGGGTGAGAGGGTTGGCTCTTACCATGAGTCCCAGGGCTTTGTTCTGCTGTTTGGTCCTGACGTACATGCTGATGGTCATGGAGGGGTCCGTCTCTGGAGCGTTGGGATTCTCCACAAAGCTGTTGCCGGCAGGGTCATCCAGTATCTTGGAGAGAGAAAAGAAAGGAGAAATCAAACCTGCAATGTGACTCTTCTTTTGTTGGGGTTGCCGACTTCAGCTTCAGTAATACAATCAATTAAGGTCCTAGTCAACAAGTCTCTGGGATTTATATAACAGGTTTTGCCCTTACCCAACGTATATATTGGTAAACACTGTATGCTCAGTGCTTGTCTGAGAGCTTGCGAAAAAATCCACAAGCTTACTCGGGTGGGACTCGAACCCACAACCTCCTGCTTACTAGTGAAGACGTCTTATCAATATAAATGTGGGGTAAGGGCAAGACCTGTTATATAAATTAACATCTCCCCAACGCAAAAATACATCTTGAAAAAGTCTCTTGGAATTGCATTTACTACCTCATTTCTTTGCAATCAGACTGAATCACTTCTGATCATGTGCATTTGTAGAGTGCATTCAATAGTGCCGGTGCTCCTAGGAACCACATCATCGTTAACCACTGGTTGATTTGTCTTTGTGGCGTGAAATAATAAATTTATGGAAATCTTTGCATCCTGAAGAAAGTTACCACTCTTCTGTTTAATACAAAGCAGATCATTATCCGAGGTCTTCAGAGAAAGAGAAAAACAAAAGAGGATAACCACCCAAGGACTGTCCAAACATTCCCCCTCCCCCAAATATCTTAACCCAAGCAGCCAAGGCGTATTCATGCTCTGCTCTGCTCTACTTTTCACTCATCCCACGTAGCAGAAAACCAGGTTGAACATAAAGGAAACCTGAGAGCATTTGAAAAACACTGGACTCATTTCCACATCTTGGCCGAAGTTACAGCCCGCACTGTTTCCTGTCTCTGACAGTGCATGCCCCTAGATTGTGACAAAGTGACAATCCCACAGACTACATGCTGGCCAAGCAGGTAACTTTACCAGGTGGAATGGTGGTTCAAGGTTAGCCAGCTTGCTGATGAATTCTTCAATCTGTGCAGCCACTTCCGGATACATTGCCTTGTGAGGGAAAAAAACATTATGAAATAGAGATTATTGTAACAATCAAAGTTATTTTTGTGCCGGCCACAACAGCACTCATTAAATGTCTTAAATACCGGTACCGTTGCCTGGCCCCAGCGAGATGGGCCCCTGGCTGTGGCCACACAATGGAATGCCACAGACGATTAGCCATTCTTTTGAAGTGTGTAACTGGAACTTCCCTTGTTGAACTGGCTTGTTACTTCCCCTTTAACACCCTCTTGTAGTTTTAGTCCAGTGTGGATTTGGGACTGGATGTTGGCGGTGTAAGGTTCATTTTATTTTCTTAGGTCGAGTTCGGGCGGCCTGTCCTTGACACGGGTTTCTTGTTCTCGCGCTCGAACAGCGGGAACATGACTCAAGAACACTGTTCTCGGAACAGGATCACACACCACCTCCTCGTCAGAGTTTTACAGGAACACACGGAAAAACTCGTGAGATTTTGATTTTTGAACAGCTGAGAAAAGTAAAGAGGTGGCTTCCAAAGCCACAGACAATGGGAAGTTTTGCAAAATTAACATTAATTATTTTCCGTAACACAGAAATGAATGTTCCTGTTTATATAGAAAAGAATTCAGCCCATCCAAACATTAACTCTCAAATAACGTAGCGTGCATGGACGCCGCCAGTTGCATGTCACTAACTACCATCGATAACCGGTTGTTTGTTCCCGGCGTTCGAGCGGCCGACCCACGAATAACAAATCGAGCTGTTCGTGAGCATACGGAAACAAACCGCCCAAACTCAGCCTTAGACACTAGTACCATTGGACAACCCTGCACTGCTGTGGCTCGCTTAATGAAATGTAAGTGCTGGATAATTTAGTTTCCCTCCAACTACATTTTGTTTAATAAACTACTGAAACTGTAAATTACTGGCTTCTGGTTATATTCTCTGCGAGTCAGATTCGGAGGCTGTTACAAATGTAGTACGTCAATGTACATTACCGGGCTGAAAACCCTGCATGCAAAAAAACACATTATTTAGAATTCAAACAGGATGCTCTTACCTTGCGAATTGGCTGTACTTGTTCCAGGCCCTCAACTGCTCTTGTAATTAATCCCTCCACTGTGGTAAATGCTGTTGATTGATAATTCATCATTCAGCATAAGTCCATTGACGTAAAATAATTACAAATGTGGACTTCATTACTTCACAGCATGTTGGTGAATGCAGCGAGCTTTAGGTCCTCAAATTGGCTCATTTTACAAGCATGTCATTTGAAAAAATAATGTTACCGAAGTCAGAAAAAATATATATTATTTTGTTTTTGACTTTTAAGAGTACTGTTTGTCTTGCATAGTTGGCTAAAATCATTACTACTGACGCTTCAATTGCCCGGTATTCCAAACAAGTGTCACTGTGTCACTTGTTTTTAACACACGGGGAAGGAAGGTAGGTGACAGAGGACAAAACAGAAACCAGGGAAGAGGGAGCAGGATGGATGGCGAAAACGTCTAACGTACAGCCTTTTTGAGAGCCACCAGGGATTTCAAACTCCAACTCTGGGATCTTGACAGATGCGGTGTCTGCCTTCACCACTTGCCTGTTGAAGTCCTAAAACCCAAAAGGAGAAGAAAAAATGGACATAATGGAGTAAAAACCACTGAGGCACTGTACGAGAAAGATTACATGTGCCTGGAAATTCATGTACCGTATATTTTTCCCTGGGACCATTTTGAAAGTGGCATGACAGACATCATATTGTCTGTACTGACAACCAGCATCAAGGGCTATAGAATTTACAATAATTTGTCTGAACGTAGAAGACTTAAAGATTGGGAACTTCAGTTTGGGATTTTCATCCATGCATGGAACTCCTGTCACATGATCTTGTACCTGTCACGCCTGTTAGGTAAAACAAGTCAGAAATACTTGGATTTTGTTTCAGGGTGATATGTCCAACAGCAACTGAACTTGACAATCTGCCCTATTCAATTCTTGAGTACATACTAGAACAGGTGCATATGTATCAGGCATGTAAATTGGACTGTGAGAAAAAAAAAAGAAATTCCAATCTTGACAAGACTTTGAACAGTATTCTCAATTTTCAGTGACATGAGTGTGAAGTGAAAAACAAGGAAACCAGCTGATCTGAGGAGAATTTGCATGCCTGACATGTACATGTACGTCAAGCACATGTACACCCCCCCTACACTAACTTTCAAAACTTTGGAGTAAACTTACAGTACACGTACTTCTGTGTACAAATAAAATCAATTTCTGGCACAGAAAAGTCTTTTTTGAGATTCGACTCGACACGCAAACATTGTTGGTAAAGTACCGAGGACTTGCAAACCTTTGCCTAGTGGAAATTTTGGAAGATATTAGCAAAGAAAACCTTTAATAGAAGAAAGCCTTTAAGAGACCGGTACTTGAACTGTCTGCACTCCTCTTGTATAGGGGCACATGGCCTGGTGGTTAGGGTTGGTAGCTTCCAATCATAAAGTAGGGGTTCGAATCCAGCTGGTGGCAGCATGCTGTGATCTTGGGCAAGTCACTTTACCCCTTATGTACATGTACCTGGCTTCACCAAGGAGTAAATGGGTACATGCGAGGGCAGATAAGCTTATTACAATGTATGTTTAGCCGTTTGCACCTGACGAGGCAGCATCAAGCTAGTGTACTTCCCAGGAAGCTGAGATGGTTTCAGGAATGATCAGATGTTGGGAGCCCAGTGTGCACGGATAATGATAACAATTGCATTGTATCCTATGGTGTCCTCTGATGCTAAATAAATACAATATGTTATTATCATTGAAGTAGTTTAATTTGCAACAATCTGCAAAATATGTAGAAAAATAAACATGGTTTTAACTGGCTATGTTTAACATTTCAGGAAGCGATGTTAGTAACCAATCTTGAAATGTTAACAATTAAAACACATCTATATGCAACGCACTTGTTCTGGCGTCTCCTTGTTCTGCTGTTTATATATGGTGACACCTGTGCATCCCCATATGATCCAAGACATTACCTGCTGCACCTACCAAGGTAAATGTAGGTCCTCCCAATTAAAGCAACTACGTGGGCGTACATGAGTTTGTTTCTGCATTCAATTGGGGACTCTGAACAATAGAGGACAATAAGGTCCCCGATTGACAGAGGGTCCCCGATTGACAACTGTGTACAAAACATACGGGTGGTCTTCTAAAAAAGTTAAAGTACAAACAAAAGAGGAACAATAGGGGGTCCAAAGATGCAGGCAAATACACATTTGGTTGGTGAGTGTGTATTCATTCCTCAGGAATGGAATGGAAACACATTTCCCCGTAGTGGTAGGTACGGGAATGCAGTTTGTTTACGCCCTGCATGAGCGACAGCGCACCTTGCGGGTTTGAATTTCGATGCTGATCCGACAGCCTTTTTCCTGTATCCTGCCGGCAGGCTGGACATCGTTGTTGGTATCACCACAGTGGGCGCATGAAAAGGACATCACAACAACTTCCCGAAAGAATGGGATCTTGGTCAGAAGTAGCCTTGTCGTGCCCTGGAAGAAAAATGATCAGAGAAAGCTGTCAAAAGTAGCCTAGTACATGTAACATCTGAGAGGAAAAATGAATAATAGTAATAACAAACCCTACACAACAAATACACGAAAACAAACAACCCAAAAACAAAACAGGTGCCATAAATGACAATTCATATATTGTCACAGTATTGATTAGTATGCGTTTAGTATACTTTGCTCGTGTACACATGCAGTACGCCCACCGCACGTGTGTGGAGCATGCATACATATGTATTGATGTTATTCAAATTTCATCTCATTGGTTCCCTGTTTGTCTGTCACGCAAGCAGAGTCTCAAGGTGACAGGAACCGGTTTTGTATGGTACAACCTACAGTGTACATGTATACAAGAGCGCCTGTCAGATGCCTTGAAATCCGACACACGAAGCGTTGCCTTCGTTGGTAGGCATTATTTTCAGAATGGCGCCGCCCACGGTCAGCATATCAATATCACAGGCCGGGATTTTCATGGCGCCATACTGTGTATCGGAAAATATACGGTTTGGGAAAGCTTTGGGGTGCTTGTATAAAAGTCAAAACTCTGAGGAATATGACGGTGTAAGTAAAATTGTTGAGTCATTCTCACTTCAAAAGATATTAGGATTCAAAGTTTGTGACAATCTCGCAGTTTGGATTTCAGGCATTAAAGACATACCTTGAAGTTGGGCTATGATGGGGACAGAAAGAGACAGATTGCTAAAGACAGCCATCCACAGCCCTACCAGTGAGGCTAATTGCAATACAGCTCCTATCTTTTCCAGCTGTTTTCTTGACCCCATCAAAAAGAAAGCTGAGCTATGATTGGTCATTAGAATGGAAGCAAACTGGGCCAATCACAGTGCAGTTAGCATCTCTGGGTGACAGGAAAACACACTTGTACATGTAGGAAAAGATAAGCCTAGCAGAGTTGTGATTGGCCAAGCTAACACAAGGCTGACAGTTACTGAGAGTACATGATGCTGATTTCTGTTGCGTGGATGGGCAAAATGCTCAAGAATTTCACCACTTCAATGAGGATATACATGTAAGGTGAATAATCCTCCCCATCGGTTATCTAATATTTCACTAAGAAGGCATGTAGCTGTGATCAGGCAATGGAAGAGTAAGTTACCACAGTCAAAACAGCCAAAATGTGTTAATGGGATTCAGAGTTTGTAACTGTACACATGCTCAAGAATTTCACCATTCTTTTCAGAACCGCAAATACTCACAAAAGAGATACGTCCATGGTGCTATCGTAAACCTACTTTCTATTATTGTACACATGTAGTTAACTGTCATGTCTGTATTAATATGATGAGGTTTATATCCATGTGTAAACATGTGAAACACCAGTCACGACTTGGAACTAGGGCCTACATATGTACATGTATGTAGGCCTACTGGCCACGCAAGTGTAACGTTATAGAAAAACCAAAAGAACTGAGGGGTATATCGTATTGTAGGAGTGCAGCGGATGATGAACCCCTAGCTCTGAGCGAACACTCGTACACCTATATTACTAATACTAACGTCCACTGAATGACAATCACAACGTGTACTATGTAGGCCTACATCATGTAGGGCCCACATCAATCAGGTATTTCATTTCAGTACCAGAAAATGCACAAGGCCTTAAGACTGATACTTCATGAGTAATTTTGCACAATGGTATTGCTAGAAAGGCGGAAGGCAAAAGGAACAATGCCTTTCTACCACTGTGCAAAATCACGCATGCGGTATATCAGGAATAAGGCTTCGGGCCTAAATTTCGACAAACCTGTTCACCACAATTTACGCAAAGGCTCTCAATTTCTGTGGCTTCTAAATCACCAATTTCCTCCGCTGTCAACTCTCTAAAGAGTGGAACGTTCCCATAAGGTTGTTCTGCCATAATCGTTTCTTTAAATCTTCACTTTTTCTGTGAAATAATTC